TTCGGATGTCATTTGTGGTAGTTTATTTTAGTTAAACTGAAGAAGTAAGTTTACAACATATAGTCCATTCAATTATATTTCATTTGATACCTCATTTTGTCTTACAAACCCAAAATAAAATTTTAAATAGTGTTTTAATCCCAACCTCTCACTTCTGGTACCCAGGTACGAATAGTCGCAGCCTTGTTAATTAGTTCTTTAAAATGAAAGATCTCAGAAGAGGCTTTTCTTTAAGTCACTTTTTAAAAAAATTCATTGATCAACTAATGACATCATATCCGGACCCCAACCAAGTTTCCGCCCCCACCTCTCCCCTGCCTTCCTCAAACAACTTAGGTTTTTAACAAAAAAAAGGGTCATTCAGAAAACTTTTTATGAGCTGCCCATTTTATCAAGCTCAATTAATACTCTTTTATAAAACCAGCGAGACCATTTTGAACAACAAAAACGGAAATGATTGAATCAAGTGCCACCCTTCAAGTGCCACCCTTCAAGTGCCACCCTTCAAGTGCCACCTTTCAAGTGCCACCCTTCAAGTGCCACCCTTCAAGTGCCCCCCTTCAAGTGCCCCCCTTCAAGTGCCACCCTCCTTCAAGTCAGGAATCCATGTTGCACTCACCGGCTTTATCTTTATTTCTCATATCTGCTGAGCCTCCCTGGGAGATTTCTGTGTCCTCCTCCAGGAGGTGAGCGAACTCTTCAGCTGATGCAAACAGGTTGGTCATGTCATCCCTGAAACAATGGCGTCAACAGTTTTATTATGATACAAAATAACACAACACTAAATGTTACCTGGGCCCTTCAAAAGATATCTGTTAGCTAAAGAATAATTCACAACATTTCTTATTTTTATGTTAACACTTCCATTTCAAAACAATGTTTTTCCCTTTAAAGGTAGATAACTCTGATGAAAATATAGGTCTCTTTTCTTTATGCTAATTTATATTAATAAGAGTGAGCTAGACTGACCAAATAACGCTTAAAAAACTAATTGATTGAAACTAATTTTGGGTTCTTAAAAACAATGATACGGAGTTTCTATTATGTTACGGAAATCAAATAAATTTAAATATGCTAAAAATAAAAAATATCTGCCTTTATTGAAGCATGTTTAATTGTTACATGCAATTATTGCTATTGTTATAAATACATTTAATATAAGAATTAAAGAAATGGTATTTTGTCTCTATGTAAGAGAAGATATGATCATCTGTATATCAATATTACTGTTATTCATCCTATCATCTGTATATCAATATTACTGTTATTCATTCTTTCATCTGTTTATCAGTATTAATGTTTTTCATTCTATAATCTGTATATCAGTATTACTGTTATTTATTTTATCATCCGTAAATCAGTATTACTGTTATTCATTCTATCGTCTGTATATCAGTATCACTATTATTCATTCTATCATCTGTATATCAGTATTACTGTTATTCATTCTACCATCTGTATATCAGTATTACTGTTATTCATTCTATCATCTGTATATCAGTATTACTGTTATTCATTCTATCAGGGAAAAAAAAATAAAAAAATTGTGTTTGTTAGTGCGTTTTGAAATAAAATTTTAATTTTTGTTAATTTCTAAAATGACTTGGGCTGTGATTTGAATGAGGCAGCACTATTTGACATTTATTAATAGTGTCCTCTAAGAATTACAATTAAATAATAATAATAATAATAAAGTTCATTTCAAAAACATTTATAAAAAAGTAAATCAGATTGAATTTTATGATTATAGAATGCAATAATTATAGAACTTGAGTGTTTACATCAATATGATTGTATGTGGTTTAGGAGACATTCTATTGTTACTGCAACTTAATTTAAAAGGAAAAAATTATTATCATAGTGCCATAGCCATAGTTAGCAGATATGTCAGTAAGAATCGGGAATACTAAAAAGGGGGAAACATTTATTTTGTTGTCAAAACATCTTTCCAAGCTCATCTAGACCACCAAGGTTAGATGTTGAAATAATGAAACAGATCGACGTTTAAACTATTAAAATCAATGTAGAGATTAATATTTATAGTAATGGTCTTTAAAGTCATTTTCATCAATTTAAAAGTAAATAAAACATATTATTTTTAACATACAAAGTTAAGCACTGCAATATTTTTGTTAGAAAATGTAGTAAATTGTGTTGCAAAACTGGATTGGTAAATAATAATTTTTATTTAGTTTATGGGCGTGTCAAAAGCTTGCAATAGAAAATTAACATCCTTGGGCTGCTTTATGAATTATTAAAAACTTAATAAAATATTTAATATTTGTGTGCAAGTGGGGTGGTGAAGTAATTTTTAGATTTTGCCCCAGGACAGAAAACAATTACAGCAGATAATAGCTTAGCGTATTTAACAAGTTTAGTACTGTCTCAAGGCTTCCATATGTTACATGCCGGGAATGGGTACATAGATAATTTTGAAACTAATGAAATAATGTATTTAGCATTCTTCTAAAATCACATTTCAAGTGGAGTAAAGATGATATGTACATTTTAAAGTGGATGGCTATCTTAACTTCCGACGACATGAAGTCATTAAAAAGAAATGTTAGATTTTCTTATAAAATAAATAAATCTATGTTATACCAGTTTAAAGTTCAATGGATGATTTACATAACTTAACACATAACTCCAACAAGTTGGACAGTGGAAAATAGAGGATGTCATTTTCTTTGCAACTAAGGACATTTAGGTTTCCCTATTGTTTTTATGTTACAGTTTAGGGGCCAGAATAAGGGTTGGGCACATATCTATGAGGATTAAAAACATGTAGATATTAAAACTGTACTGTAAATATTTCTTGAAAATACAATTCAAGTGTGAATTCAAGTGTGCCAAAGTGTCCTCGTTTTATAGCCATTTTAATTGTTCCTATAGTATAGTAGTTACTATCCTAGTGTCTCATTTTTTATTTTACTTAGTTTACATGTTTTTAATAATTGTAAAGCGCTTAGAGCTTTAAGGTAAGCGCTATATAAAAATGCCTAAATAAATAAATAAATGTCCCATAACCCCATTGCCATAACAGAGACATATTTTTATGTGGACATCAATGTCCCATAACCCCTTTGCCATAACAGAGACATATTTTTATGTCGACAACAATGTCCCATAACCCCATAACAGTGACATATTTTTATGTGGACAACAATGTCCCAAAACCTCATAACAGAGACATATTTTTATGTGGACAACAATGTCCCAAAATCCCATAACAGAGACATATTTTTAGAGGCATTAAAAAAATGGGGATAAGATTTATTTTAAATTATGAAGAAATATTTTTGTTTCCATATTGTGAAAAATAATGTTAATTGAAAAGTGGGTGCACATTTTTATGAGATTAATAGTACTTCTAAAAAAAACTTAAGGAAGTTACAGACGGGAAATTTAGATTTGAGAATTATTTATTTTACTTTTACGAGTAACGATTGTCCGATAATATGGTAGAGAAGCGAGGCTAATTTTTGGTTAAATTTTTAATGAAGATACCACTACAGTCGAACCCACTATCTCGACCTCGGTTAACTCGCCAACCCTGTAAAGTCGATGTTTTTGGCGTGGAACCGCCAAAGTCTCTCTTTGTCTTAGTATTTTCTCCTCGGTTATGTCGATTCTATTATGTCGCAGAACCTTAATATCTCGAGCACAAAAGGGGGCCAAATCTGCCACTTCACCTCGGTTATCTCGACCCCCAAGAGCAATTGCCAGCTTTTGAACTCCACAAGAAGAAATATCAAACAACAAATAAACAAGTTTTAAACAATTAAAAAGAGTTATTTATTTCTCAAAATACAGGACTTGTGTTTTAGAATGAACGACTAGAAGTAATTGAAATAAATATGTTTTAATTTGAGGTTTAAAAACCTGGTAGAGTCCATATTATAAATGATCATAATTTGCAGAGTGCAAAACATTGTCATGGGCAGCCATTCACGGTCACTTGCATAATGGCTATTATGAGGTCACAAAATGTGGAGACTTCATCCATTGTAGAAAATACCAAACGAACTCATCCTTTAAAAATGTGTAGCTCAAAAAGTGCTAGAATCTAAAGCTAAAAAGTTGATTCTGGTTTCAGTTTTTTAATTTTAAATTTGCTCTAAATAACTGAAATATTAAAAAAAATTTTTTTTACTGAAGTACCCACATTTCTTAACAGACATCGTTTACATAAATTTCAAGCACATGTTAATACTTTGCTGCCATATTGGTTTCCGTTTATCTCGATCATCGGTTATCTCGGCGCTTTTTGGCAAACCGCAAGCCTGTCAACATAACCGGGTTCTACTGTAAATCAAATTTCCTTAATTTTTAAGATGATAGAAATGTCAGATGCATTTTTTGTTTTAAATTTAACAACGTGCTTTTTTTAGAACTTTTTTTTGTGTTCAGGGGTGTGTAAATAGTAAGGTAGGCCTATATTATAGTTTAGATAAATATTTGTCAAACCTAAATGATGTTAGAAACGTAAACATCAATGCATACCTACTTCAAACAAGGAAAGTTTGCTCAACTATTTCCTAAATATATAATTCAAGGGTGTGGAATATTGCGTTCTTTTTTCATTTATTTATGTCAAAAATCAATTGTTAGATGCTGAGATGTCGCCACTGCAGGTAGAGCAGATCTATATAGAAAAATGCTTTCCATAATAATCCCAGTAACATTGGGTCATATCTTTTAGTTCTTAAAGATTGATCTCTCATTTTAAAATGATAAATCTACAAAAAAACTTTATATTTATTTTTTTTCATATTTTTGTTTCATTGCATGGCTTTTTTTTTTTTCTCTTACCAGATCCATTACAGCTCATGATACCAGATATATTACAGGTCAATGATACCAGATCCATTACAGCTTATGATACCAGATCCATTACAGCTCATGATACCAGATCTACTACAGCTCACGATACCAGATACATTCCAAGACAGTGAAATATGGAATATACATTTTTTTTGACACCACAAATATTTGTTTACTTACTTCTTGGATTTTTTCTTGAACTTCTGGTCATTAAAGGACATGTCCAGGTCGTCATCATCATCACCACTAGGTTTCTTCCGTTTCTTTCCACCACCACCCAGCATCATCATTTGAAGTTCATCTGGCAACAAGACATTTTTTTATTCAATATTACCATCATAATGAATGCCTAATTCTTGGAAAAAATCCAAATACTTGGGTAAAAAAGGCCAAATACTTGGGTAAAAAAAGCCAAATACTTGGGTAAAGAAGGTCATTTGCTTTAATGTTGCATGAAAGTTATTTATTTAACCTGACACTTATGGACAGTATTCCCAGAATCAGTCTTTAGGCTTGAAAGTAGATCAGCTTGCTTTGATACAACTGACAACTGTTGTGGACAAATCAGTTCAGTTGATATTAAAATATTTATTTCAGTTTGTACCCCTATCCCGGCTGAATGAACTCTCCCAAAAATGAAATTAAAAGAATTTTTAATATGAAGCGCCAATGTGAGCGGAAAACAAGCAAGACTCCCGGTGCCTGAGATTTTAAAGAAACTGGCCAAGTAATTTAGGGTCACAAAATTATAATTTTGGAGTGTCAGCAAATGATAATTTTGGAGTGTCACAAATGATAATTTTGGTCACAAAGGATATTTTTGGAGTGTCACAAATGATTTCAGGTAAAAACTTCTCATTCACAACTGACCATCTTCATCTGGTGACAATTCACTACCATCCATAGCATTTCCTGTGTCATCTTCATCCATTTCCTGTTCAAACTCGGCGGCTAGATCATCATCGGCCAGGTCAAGGTCCTCATCTTCATCATCATAGTCATCACTTTCCTCACTTTCTTCCTTGTGCTTTGCATGCTTCTTGCTCTTTTTGTCACTGTCCACAAAAGGGAAATAATCAATGTTATTATTTCAAGTAGTTTTATTTAAGACTGAGCGAAGAGATGGAAAAAACTTTAAAAAAACTGTTTAGCCTGCGTTTAGATGAAAAATAAAAATAAGGATCTGCGGTCAGACCATTATTTTTAAATGGATGTTTGCAGGCTGCTCCTATAGTTTTCTATATAATGTCCCTTGCACAGAGGTGCAGAGTACTGAGTGTTCATCAACAGATAACAAGCAATATCATTGACCTGACTTACCTGGCAAAGTCCAAGTCAAGGTCATCAATCCCATCATCAGCAGATTTTTCAAAGTCATCTGAAAAATAGATCAGAATAAATCAAATATTGTACAATGATTTTTACAAATTTAGCAGATCAATAAATATAACGGTATAATTAAAAAGCTTGTGTTGATCGATATCACTCTGTAAATGAATCCGGACTTAAAGACAATGTTTAGTGATAATATAATAGCCGAAATTTGATTGAACAAGCTTTAGTCTTTTTTTTTTTTTTAAGTGATGACCAACTGACCCAAGAAAGCATCAAATTCTTCATCTGAGACACTACCACCATCACTGACATTGTCTGGCACTTTGCTGGCTCTTTCTGAGAAATATCTGTCAATGGAGCACAAATAGATATGTATAATCTTATAGCAAAGGAGATAAGATGCCCTCATTTGCATATGGTAGCTGATTTAGCAGGAAATTACTTGAAAATAATTTGACAACCATTTCATTTAAAAATATATTTTCTTTAAGTTTACATTGCTCAATAAATAAACATCCAGAACTAGCAGTTATTTAGTCATAAACAACCAATAAAAAAGATACGTAAGGCAACTAGCAGTAATTTAATCATAAACTACCAATAAGAAAGATACACAAGGCACGTAGCAGTTATTTAATTATAAATGACCAATCAGAAAGATACACAAGGCACATAGCAGTTATTTAATCATTAATGACCAATCAGAAAGATACATAAGGCACATAGCAGTTATTTAATCATAAACAATCAATCAGAAAGTTACATAAGGCACATAGCAGTTATTTAATCATAAACGACCAATCAGAAAGTTACATAAGGCACATAGCAGTTATTTAATCATAAACGACCAATCAGAAAGTTACATAAGGCACATAGCAGTTATTTAATCATAAACGACCAATCAGAAAGTCACATAAGGCACATAGCAGTTATTTAATCATAAACGACCAATCAGAAAGTTACATAAGGCACTTAGTTATTTAATCATAAACGACAAATCAGAAAGTTATGTAAGGCTCTGTTCATACCTGTAAAAGAACTTTTCGTCGACTGGCACATCATCTTCACCAGCCTCCAGATACTCCTTTGAATTAACTGGCACCGCTCTAATTCCTGAAGGGCCGGACCTTCTAAAGCGACCCATGTTTGCATTGCTCTCCTCTGTTGGAATACAGAAAAGATTTGTTCCATCAGTTATTCTAAGTGTAAAATCGGGTGTTCTTAGCTCAGTAACTTCCCTTTACAGCTTAATTACATTTTAAACTTTGCTCAGTAATTATGTTTTACACTTTATTCACAAAGTATATTTTACACGTTGCTCAGTATGTTTTATATTTTACTCAGGAAATATGTTTGCCAAGCATGTGTGTTATACATAATGCATTTTCATTACATCTTTAATTTACACTTAACTGTAACAACATTCAACTTAGCTGAAGCTTCACTCACCAAGATTTTTCTTTGGGTTTTTGTACACAAACCTGTCCAGAAATCTTGAGAGAGTAAAGTCCTTAACAGGGTCTCCATCATATTCAATGGGCAGGCCCTGGTGGTGAGAAAATGATCACAAATTTAACAGATTTGATTTTCAAGAAAAACTGAATATTCACTATAATTAAGAAAATGGTCTTCACAGATATTCAGACTTTAGTCATTAAATCAGTTATGAGATGTTTGCCTGTGCAGAATTGTACCTAGAAAGGTCCATCTGAAGCCAAACTGAGTTCATTGAAATTATAAGATGAAATAAGATGAGATAAAATACTTTTATTGATCCAAGTAAATCGAAATTTGTTGGGTTTTTTTCATTCAACATAAATATTTTTCGTTTCTCCTTAAAATTAGTCTGTAGCAAGACTTGGTCAAAAATTTGTGGGGCATGAATAACTTTTGAGTGTGAGTTGTAATTATGAACAGAGCCTCTGCTTTTTGTTTCAATGGAGTTCTTGTTTTTTTTCCCAAGATCATGGACACTTAATAGAGATTCTTTTCTCAGCGACTTTTTTGATTAAAAAATGGCTGTGCTTTGCCAACATGTAGAGCACATTTAACTCTGCGAACCTATAGACCAGGTTTAGCTCAAATTGTTAACGCCAATAAGTAACTGTAGACTCACTTTGAGTAATGATGTGGCGTAAAGTTTAACAGTAGGGTGATAATGCTGGACAAGATGTTGAAGCTCCCAGAGACACTCAAGCTCAGCTCTGGCGTAGAGGGGGTTCCTTCCATATGGGTCATACTCTGACCAGCGACCTATGCAATCAATAACAAAGATTGATGACAAAATAACAATAAAAGAGCAGGCAGGCAACTCAAGTACAAGAGCTAATGTGGTTATGTTTTCTATTGTGATATCATAATTATTAAATCAAGAAAACCCTTTGGGCTCTTTTTACTTGACTAACGTGATGTATTTATTAAATCAAGAACACCCTTTGGGCTCTGTGTACTTGACTAGCGTGATGTATTTATTAAATGACAGAAAACCATTTGGGCTCTTTGTACTTGACTAACGTGATGTATTTATTAAATCAAGAAAACTATTTGGGCTCTTTGTACCTGACTAACGTGATGTATTTATTAAATCAAGAAAACCATTTGGGCTCTTTGTACTTGACCAATGTGATGTCATTCAATGCTTTGACTTAGCACAGAGTCTCCATGAATGAAAGCTGGCTGTTTACCTGGCCCACCAAAATTGTTCCTGTGAACCCAAGATCCCTGTGTCTTGCCGCCCATCTGACCAGCATGTCCAGACTTCCCTGTGTTGGATGGAACCCCTACACTGACGGCGCCTTTCTTGCCCGCATTCACTTTATCTCCCTCATCCAGCTCTTTCTCGTCACCCCCAGGTTTCTCTCGGTCCTCCTCCGGGTCATTTGCCAAATCGTCTGGATCAGGAATGTCAACAAATCGTTCCTCTTCATCATCCAGCCACGCCCCCTGAGAAACAAAAATGTTACAAAGTTGATAACATCAGTCCCACAAAGTAAAAAAATTAAATGGTGACAATGATATGATGATGGTCCTAATTTGATATGTTTTTCAATTTTTTAAAGTGCAGCCCACCCTTTGATTTAAACAGAAATTATTTCAGAATTATGTCAACTGATTTGCTTGTAGAATTGCCTTGCAAACCCATTCAAAGAAGCTAATCATGGGCAAGCTGTATACCCTGAGTAAAAAAATTAAAAACTCAACCAATAAATTCAAGGGACAACATCCAACATGGCATACAGATTTTAAAAAATGTTCCTTGAAGCTAAAAGAACAACTCTTCTAACAAGTGACTTACCTCCCCTTTGAAGCTCCTCCGCACCAGTCCTGACTTGTCTTTCAAAATCTGGACCATTGAAAAATAGATACAAATGAATTCATTAATAGCAAGTATGTCTCTTTCCTGGCCAAAAATGTATAAAGAGAGGAATATGCTGATCATTGGGAAATTGCTATTTTTAAAACTAATTTGATGGCATTGCAGCTCTGCAGTCTCTGAATGGCCTTCAACTGTGTCAGAAATTACCTTCAGTTGTACAAACCATGTTACCTGTGACAGGAGAATGAGCACACCACAAACCAGCTTACCTGTGACAGGAGAATGAGCACACCACAAACCATCTTACCTGTGACAGGAGAATGAGCACACCACAAACATCTTACCTGTTACAGGAGAATGAGCACACCACAAACCAGCTTACCTGTGACAGGAGAATGAGCACACCACAAACCAGCTTACCTGTGACAGGAGAATGAACTCACCACAAACCATCTTACCTGTGACAGGAGAATGAGCTCACCACAAACCAACTTACCTGTGACAGGAGAATGAGCACACCACAAACCAGCTTACCTGTGACAGGAGAATGAGCACACCACTAACCAACTTACCTGTGACAGGAGAATGAGCACACCACAAACAATGTGAGGGGGCTGGGGTGAGTATACTTGGAGTATTCTCTTGACAAAAGCCTGCGAGATAGAGAGAAGAGAATAATATAAAGGTATAAATAGATCTATATAAGGTAAATTTTAGACTTTTTATGAATTTTTTTCAATGTATGACTGAATTTAAACATTGTTTCATAATTCTAAATTTCTAAAACAGTTAACAAGATTATCTATTTTAATCTGGGCAAATGCGCACAGAATCTCTAAGCCTCTGGTAACGACGACATACTTTTATTCTCCTGTCCACGACATCAGAACGCAAACTCTTAAATAAGAGATTCATAAATATGGCTTGCTTTGAAGAATTGTTGAGGGCAGGGTCCACCAGCTTGCGGTACAGACACATGTAGAAGCGGTCTGAAGCGCTGGTGCTAACAAACACAAGATGATACGAACAACTTAATACTGAATAACCCAAGAGAAAAAAAATCATTTTAAATTACAGTAATAACTCGAATATCGCAGGGGTTACTTTATGACACCCCTAGCCAAATACAGCGCAGTAGGATTCTTTCATTGGGTACATTATACACTATAAATATAAGTACATATTTAATAAAAATATTTAAAAATTTTAATCCTACAAAATAACAAAAAGTTTGCAGAACATATCCTGAGAGAAAACCTGCAGATTGTAACCAAGGAGAAAACCTGCAGATTGTAACCAAGGAGAAAACCTGCAGATTGTAACCAAGGAGAAAACCTGCAGATTGTAACCAAGGAGAAAACCTGCAGACTGTATCCTATGAGAAACCCGCAAAGGAATTAGGTATTATTGTTCTTTTCAATCACACAAATTAAAAATGTATATTGTCATTGTCATATGTACAATCCATTTTAATGTCTATGCAGCGTTCCGTATTATATTTATTATGATTTTTGCATGTTCTCTTGACAAATGCAGTCGAGATTGTCATTCTAGGTTGGGCTAGTGAGCCACTCATCGAAGTGTAGGACTACATAGCTACTCCATCGTCTCGTGAAGACGGAAGGATGCCATATATATGAATGTTCTCTTGAGGTCTAGAAAAAAAAGGGTACCACAAGATTCTCAACAGTTACTTTATATTCATATAAAATTTGACTTAAATGTTTTGTTTATTAAGGGAAGTTTTGCCACATATTTGTGGTAAGTTGAGGTGCCTAACAGATGAAAGTATGGAGATTAGAGAGTTCACGGCACCACACCACATTTAAATTGAAACAAACAAAAAACACTGCTTTACACACAGGTCACTTACCTGGCATCTGTCACCTGATGGAGTAACATGAGAGCTTGTACGCCAGTGTGGAAGTTGACAGATGGTATGATTTTATAAACAGAGTCAATCTGAGTGGCTATCTCTTCCTTGTTGGCTGAAAAATAGACAATGTATTTGAATTGGATATGTTTTTTATGGCCCGATCCTAAGTATCTGTGATGAAGAGGGTGGAATGTATCATCCAAAATGTGTTTAGTTTTACAAAAACATCTTTCTTCAAATAGTTCTTCAAGTGAAGGATGTTTAGTTTGTGTTATGTTCCTAGCTTTCTTGATTAGTTGGTTTATGCGGTGTTTAATATCAGGCGTTGAATTTCCACACCAGCAGGTAATATTGAAATTAAGCAGGCTTCCAATTGTTGCACTGTAGAATAAGTTAACAACTTGCTTGCTAACACCAAAATTGTACAGTTTTTTGAGGTAGAACAGTCTTTGGTTGAATTTCTTATACAGGATTTGGCCGTGCTCATGCCATGTTAGCTTATTATTAATGATGATATCTAAGTACTTGTATGCGTCCACTTTCTCCACATTTTGATTTTTTATGTTGAGATCTGTAATCTGGTGTTCCCCCTTCTGAAATCAACAACCATTTCTTTTGTTTTTGAGACATTCAGCTGGAGAAAATTTTCATGGCACCAATTGTTAAAGCTTGTAACTAAATTGCGGTATAGACCTTCTCCTTCATATATTAAGCCAACAATGGCCATAAATGTCTTCATGATGTGCATTGCATGGTTACTAGATAACACAACCTCCAGTGGCCATAAATGTCATCATGATGTCCATTGCATGGTCACTAGATAACCCAACCTCCAGTGGCCATAAATGTCATCATGATGTACATTGCATGGTCACTAGATAACCCAACCTCCAGTGTCCATAAATGTCATCATGATGTACATTGCATGGTCACTAGATAACCCAACCTCCAGTGGCCATAAATGTCATCATGATGTACATTGCATGGTCACTAGATAACCCAACCTCCAGTGGCCATAAATGTCATCATGATGTGCATTGCATGGTCACTAGATAACCCAACCTCCAGATATTTCAGTTTACAGTGTACTGATGCCCACCCCGCCCACTTCTTGTATTTTCCTTTCCTAGCCATATTAAGATGACTTTGCATGGACCAGAGTTTAACCACTGTCCATGGACCAGACATTAACTACTGTCCATGGACCAGACATTAACCACTGTCCATGGACCAGACATTAACCACTGTCCATGGACCAGACATTAACCACTGAACATGGACCAGAGATTAACCACTGTATATGGACCAGAGATTAACCACTGTCCATGGACCAGACATTAACCAATGTGGACCAGAGATTAACCACTGTCCATGAACAAGAGATTAACCACTGTCCATGAACAAGAGATTAACCACTGTCCATGAACAAGAGATTAACCACTGTCCATGAACAAGAGATTAACCACTGTCCATGAACAAGAGATTAACCACAGAGCGATGAATGATCAGAGATTAATCACAATGTACGGACCAGAGATTAACCACTGTACTGTAGATCTGATAAAGAACAGTCAACGTAGGAATCTCAGTACCTTTAGCATAGACATAAGCTCTGTTGACTCCCGTTAGAAGTGCACTCATCATCTTGTTGTCTATTTCCCCTTTCTTGAGGTAACTCTGAGGATAAACACAAGGCAAATAGAGCAGCAAGCACATTTTCTTACAAATATTTTCATTAGACTGCTAGGATCCTTGATTAATTTTACTGTGCTTTTAATGTAATGATGACAGAACTTCTTGTAAGGAGGAACATGTTTATATGGTCCTATATCGTAAATATGCATGTAAATATACGGAGGAGAGTGTTTCTGTGGTCCTATATAGTAAATAAATATGTGGGTAAATATACGGAGGAGAGTGTTTCTGTGGTTCTACATTGTAGATAAATATGTAAGTAAATATAAATTAAAATCACAAAAAGTGTTTGGGCATATAAATCTACATAATATGTGTGTGCTCTTAAACTAAGAGTCACTGGTGTGTATTCTGACATGTTCATATCTTTATTGAAGTATTCCAATCAGTTCTCTAAAGCCACAACACCACATTTTCTATAACTGGCAACTCGTGTGTTCTTATGAGACAAAAAATACCTGGAAAAAATAGAAATATATCTGTATAAGCTGAGAGGCCAGCGCGTCTTCGGACTGATTAAGGCGCAGCTGAGTCAGAAAGCAAATGGCATAATACCTAAGTGAGAGAAGAACAAAATTCACTAGACTTCATGAAAAAAAGACAGAATAATCCATAACTAGAAAAAGACATTGTGCAAGTCATAAAATACCATAGCCTATCAATGAAAGGCTTACTTAAAATACCATAGCTATCAAAGAAAGGCTAACATTAAAGAAGATTGAATTAGATACTTACGTAAGAACAAATAAATTGTTTAAAAGATTTAACGCTTGGTGACAAAATGAGACAAACATATAACGATGTAGCACATTCAATGACATGTAACTCACTGTGCACATATAATGTGTGAGACACACATATAAGGATGTAAGACATTCAATGATATGTAACTCACTGTGCACATATGTGTGAGACACACATATAAAGATGTAATACATTCAATGACATGTAACTCACTGTGCACATATAATGTGTGAGACACACATATAAAGATATAATACATTCAATGACATGTAACTCACTGTGCACATATAATGTGTGAGACACATAAAGATGTAATACATTCAATGACATGTAACTCACTGTGCACGTTGGGCGACATTCGGTCGGTAGAGAAGTTGCTGTACCTCTCTGACAATCACAGATTTCATGTTGGGGTGTTCTTCAACTGAGAGTAGAATAAAAGATTCACTAGCAAATCCAAGAAACTGGCCAGCAAAAAGCGAGCAAATAAAGCTACAATTTTCACTGAAAATGTGTTACTATAGTATGATAGTATTACTATAGTATAATAGAATTGCTCCAATAAAGCTTTCATTTTCACACATACCAAGTTTGGTCATCAGATACATTGCTTTAGACTTGATGGCGGGGTCTCCAAGTTTATTCACCAGCATTGGGAGTAAGACCTATAACAAAATTAGATTAACCTTTTAATGCCACAGTTCTAGACAATAATATTTAACTTTATATATCAAACAATGACACCTGTTTTTTTAATTAAATTTAAACTAAGGATTGTAGTGAAACATCCGGGGGGGGGGGGGGGGGGGTGGAGGGGGTGTCCATAAAAGATGTCAGCACATAATATGCATTTTTTCATACCCTACCCCCTTGCAAGCATGTGACTCTCCACCCGCCCAAAGGTTGCAGACATCCACAGGCGCATATGGCAATTTGAAGTGTGAAATGCCAGGAAGTGGGGGGTGTCCATAAAAGATGTCAGCACATAATATGCATTTTTTCATACCCTACCCTCTTGCAAGCATGTGACTCTCCACCCGCCCAAAGGTTGCAGACATCCACAGGCGCATATGGCAATTTGAAGTGTGAAATGCCAGGAAGCATGACAACAATTAACAATTGAAATGAGTCACATGACTAAAACTTCTAAATCAGTATGATATAGGTCCATCCACTTATTACGTATGCACTGCAGGGGGGAAGGGGGTTGTTGATTTTGGAGATTATGCATACTGGTGCGATGGGCAGATGCTGCAGAAAGTAGGACTTTGGCCTGCCTCACCACTTCCTTCCACTCAGACACCCATCCATCCCTGTGGTGCTACATCCCATGTAGGACTTTGGCCTGCCTCACCACTTCCTTCCACTCATACCACCCATCAATCCCTGTGGTGCTACAGCCCATGTAGGACTTTGGCCTGCCTCACCACTTCCTTCCACCCATCCATCCCTGTGGTGATACAGCCCATGTAGGACTTTGGCCTGCCTCACCACTTCCTTCCACTCATACCACCCATCCATCCCTGTGGTGCTACAGCCCATGTAGGACTTTGGCCTGCCTCACCACTTCCTTCCACTCATACCACCCATCAATCCCTGTGGTGCTACAGCCCATGTAGGACTTTGGCCTGCCTCACCACTTCCTTCCACTCAGACCTAACTAATTCTTTTCTTTTTCAAGCTTGGATTTCCAGCTGCTGTAGATCTTTTTCCCCATCATCCATCCACCTAAGCCTAGGTCTGTCTTTGAGCTGTTTTCCTCTGGGGTTTTGGTGATGGACCCTCTTCACTCACTCTCTAATTTCTCAAATAGATCCAAAGAATATCACCTAAAACTCTGTGAAATCCTTGATGTTAAAAATCCTTGAAAGTCTTAAAAGAGATCCTCACAATGCTTTGTTTTCAATGAATTTATTGTCATACTGCCGCTTTGTGTTTACATTGGAAAAATATCATAAAAGTTAATAACAGTGATAGTTATCAGTATGTGATGTAATTTGTCACATTATTTCTTTGAGGCAGAACCAAACAGTGTCACTGGCAAAAAACCAAAGTGGGTCAAACCCATGATACAAATTTGAACACATGGCAGTACCGTACTACCCAAGCTTTTTTTGCTATTGCCCGAAGTGATGGCCTAAAGTGCCCCTCCTCCCCCAGCAAACCAAAAATTAGTTGGAAGAGGGAAAAAAATTGTTCTTAATGCAGATTTTAAAAAAAATTGATTATTTGGCTGCCTTAAGAGTAAAAAATGTAGGATAAAACTTACTTGCAACGTTTACATTTGTTGATAAATAGCAACCAAATATTTAGAGTGATCTCCCTTATAAAGTTTTTACTCACTTCATGATGGTTTAAGTTTAATATATTTTATTTTTTTATTTTGCAAATAGATCAGCCTTGGAGGAATGCACACAGTCTGGCAAATAGATCAGCCATGGAGGAATGCAAGCAGTCTGGCAAATAGATCAGCCATGAAGGAATGCACACAGTCTGCCTGATGCAGCTGATAATACAAAAGAGTTAGCTTGCAGACATCCACAAGACCCATTACCCATCTCCCCCCTTAACCGCATTTGTCCAATTTTGAACAACACCCCCGATGTCCTTTATGGACGACCTCTAGCTCTTCCAGTTCCAGTATTCAAAAAGGATCAATTATTAAAATTGGTGGTCCCGTCCCCCCCCACGCCCTTAACTGCAGCAGACAATGAGACAACCTAAACTAAAGCAGACCTTAACTCAACAAAAGAAGTGGCTGTAAAGGCAACCTACTGTTTCCTGCTCTGGTTTCCCTGTTAACATCTGGTGGATTGTGCCTGGTGAAGAATGCAACAGAAAAGTCTGGCTTATGAAAACCATGTCAAGCTTACAGAGATCAATCAAATAGGATTCATTTTAATGGAATTATGCTATCAGGTGTCAAGAGAAAACATTCTTTTAAATCAGCCAACTGTGTATTGGGGTGGGGGTGGGGGGACGACTTAAACAGCTCACGTTGTTGATGGTTGCCAATAACAACTGAGATGCTGGATCTTTTAATCTGGTCCGTTCATTTAAATTTAAGAGGACTATGTCGAGAATGTGAGAGCTATGAGTTGAGCTGGTCTTTGTCAATGACCTTCACACTTCATCAACCCAATGACCACCACACTTCATCAACCCAATGACCACCACACTTCATCAACCCAATGACCACCACACTTCATCAACCCAATGACCACCACACTTCATCAACTCCATGACCACCACACTTCATCAACTGAATGACCACCACACTTTAACCAGGAGCTAGTATTTTGAGTACTTACTCAGTGCTTTCTCTTTGGTGGCTTGTAATGTGTCAAATGACATGTCCTGTCAATGGAAGTTATAATTAGCCATATCAAGCATCTTAAAGCTTTGTAAACAATCAAGCAACCTCAAGCATTATAAACAATCAAGCAACCTCAAGCATTATAAACAATCAAGCAACCTCAAGCATTATAAACAATCAAGCAACCTCAAGCATTATAAACAATCAAGCAACCTCAAGCATTATAAACAATCAAAATTTTCGGGTTTTTTTCAGTACTACAGCCCTTTCTCATCCCACCCAAAGCTCCTTCTCATCCCACCCAAAGCTCCTTCTCATCCCACCCAAAGCTCCTTCTCATCCCACCCAAAGCTCTTTCTCATCCCACCCAAAGCTCCTTCTCATCCCACCCAAAGCTCTTTCTCATCCCACCCAAAGCTCCTTCTCATCCCACCCAAAGCTCCTTCTCATCCCACCCAAAGCTCTTTCTCATCCCACCCAAAGCTCCTTCTCATCCCACCCAAAGCTCCTTCTCATCCCACCCAAAGCTCCTTCTCATCCTACCCAAAGCTCCTTCTCATCCCACCCAAAGCTCTTTCTCATCCCACCCAAAGCTCCTTCTCATCCTACCCAAAGCTCCTTCTCATCCCACCCAAAGCTCCTTCTCATCCCACCCAAAGCTCCTTCTCATCCCACCAAAGCTCTTTCTCATCCCACCCAAAGCTCCTTCTCATCCTACCCAAAGCTCCTTCTCATCCCACCCAAAGATCCTTCTCATACCACCCAAAGCTCTTGCTTCCATTTGGAGAAAGTCTTGGTCTTAGAAACAAATTTAACATGACATGGGATGCTGAATGGTCGGCCACCTTATTTACTTCTTGGTAATATATTCAGGGTACCTTAAGTCCTATTGATGTAATATGCTTTATAAATAGTACATAGACTATTGTCAGTTGTTGATTGGCAGAGAAACCAATGCATTCATATGATGAGCTCAATCAGAAGTTGTTGATTGGCAGAGAAACCAATGCATTCATATGATGAGCTCAATCAGAAGTTGTTGATTGGCAGAGAAACCAATGCATTCATATGATGACCTCAATCAGAAGTTGTTGATTGGCAGTGAAACCAATGCATTCATATGATGAGCTCAATCAGAAGTTGTTAATTGGCAGAGAAACAACAATGAATAGCCAACCAAAAAATATTGCTAATTTTGTATGAGATCGATAAATAATACCGCTCAAGTGCAGCTGTGCAACACTTACCCCAATGGCTTTTATAAAGTGCAGCTGTGCAACACTTACCCCAATGGCTTTTATAAAGGCTGAGTATTTTTGTTTGAGTTGTCCTTCAAAAAACCACATGATGAGAAGCCTGTCTCGTTTGTCCAGGTCACTTTGACTCAGCTCCACCAGCTCCAGAAAGGGTTGCTGGAATCAAAGGCCATTGAAACTATTTACTCTTTTATACAATAAGTTCAAGGGTTTAAATAAGTTAATTGTTTCCTTTGCTCAAGATTTTTTATCAGCAGCTACAACTTATCTGGAAAGTTAAGCCATTTAGGGTACACATGATATGCGCAAAGGTGTCCTAAGTCTTCGGACTTCACTAAGCTGTTTTACCCTTCTTAGGGTCAAGTCTGTTCATTGTACAGAAGTGGGGAATAGGGGGCTTGTACACAACAATTTGCTTGGGAAGGGCAGATTAGAACATCATACACAGCTTTGTGACAGTATCTGAGGACATCTAGGGGGGAAAGCAAACACACCACCTTGTATCTGAGGACATCTTCAGGGGAAAGCAAACACACCACCTCATATCTGAGGACATCTACAGGGGAAAGCAAACACACCACCTTGTATCTGAGGACATCTTCAGGGGAAATCAAGTCCACCACCTCATGCTACCATTGCACTATTGAGCCACCAAAACAACTTCCAGAGACTGTTAACTAGTTTTTAAATCTTGTTTCACATCTTCAATGGACACAAACCTGATTAAATGGCTTCAGCTTTCTGTCATCTGGTAATAATCCAGTTAGAAACAAATCTCTTAAAGTGTCTGGAGGTAAGAAGAAAAATAATAATGATTAGTTGATCTTGGAGACTGCTCAAATCTTAAGCAAATTAATCTTTAAAACCATAATGGGATTTAATTATTAAGACCCTTGAGAAATTAAAGTGAACAAATGACATTACTTGAAAAAATAATTTTTACTCATTTTTTTTTTTTTGAAAGGGGAGACAATTGAAAGATTTTGATACAAAGTTTATGACTTGAATATACAAAGTTTATGACTTGAATTTCTAAAAAACTTTTTTGAGAATATAAGACATTTCTGAAAATGTAAAATAAACTCTAGTTACTTCCCTTGTTTATAAGCACCAATGATGTACCGGTAACAGGCAAAATTAAAGTTGAAAGATCAGAAAAATTAGAGGAAATTTGCTTCTTGTAATCAGTTTGAATAACTTTTCTGTTTGTTACTTTCCCCATATAATAAGAGAAGTGTAAAAAATTGCAGGCGCTAGTTAGGTTGGACAATTATCAACTCACTTTACGTTAGACAATTATGACCTCACTATTTTTCTTTTTGCATGTTCTAAGCCAGAATGAATTAAAACCCACTAACTTCAGGTTATAAGGCTAGAAAACACCAAACTGTGCCATTGCGCCACGTTAGACAAACTTCAAGTGAAAAAAAATTGGACTAACCCACTGCCATCATGGCCTCTCTCCTGCCTTTCTTAGATGACATGGAAATCAGTGTATCCAAGCTGGAGAGATTATGAATGGGCGTCTCCTGCACTAGTAAAGTCAGTGCAGCCATTTTGTCCGTCAGCGTTCCCGACGTGAGAACAGTTTTCAACCATCTTGCTTCAGAATTTTTGGTATTTTCTCTCTCTGAAAAAGAAAAATCAATGAATTTAGTTTTACTTTAGTTACAAATCATAAAATAAATCATCACGACAAAAAAAAATATTGAGCCTCAAAATGTTGGCTTAAATTTATCACTGCCATGAAGGAAACTACAAACTAAAATAAATTAAAGCCAAAGAGCATTAAAACAATCATTAAAAACATTTTAAAATGAATAATCTTTTTGTTTAAAGTAATTTAATTCATGAAAAAAGTCTGACGTTTTGCGTAAACAGCTATTTCTTCCTCCAGCAGTTTCTTGGCCAGAGTCTCCATCTCAGAAATCATTTTTTCATCTGGTGCCTCTGAGGGTAAAGGGTGCACCTGCAAACATGATTTGTAAAGCAATGCATTAAAAAAATACTAACAATCCAATGGCTCATTTACAGAAGAGATAAGCTAAATGATACAGCACAAAGAAAGCTTCAAATCACATGACCAAGTTGACATCCTTGTCATTCTCTAAAAACAAACAAGCAAATATCCGAGCAATAGCCAAATATTCACTATAATCTGTAACCAGCACTAACCTGTTCTTCCCTCCAAGCTTCCCCTGGTTTAAGTAGCAAATAATTCCTAGATTTGATCAATTTAAGGAACTGCAGCGCAGCTTTTTGCTTTGCAGCACCTGCACCAGTTTTTTTTGCCAGAGCTTCTGTCTTTTTTTCTTTAGCAGTGTTTTCTTCTGTGTTTTGGGGAACTTTGCCATTCTTTAAATTTCTATTGATTTTTACTTGTGTGTTATTTTCTGTCATCTGTGTGAGAGATTTCTGTCTTGCAGCAGCAGCAACAGTTTTTGTTGCCAGGGCTGTTGACTTATTTTCTCTAGCAGCAGCCAGAGCCACGTTTTGAGGGGTTTTGGCATCCTTCAAATTTTTAATGGCTTTTTCTTTGTCTTGTGTCTTTTCAGGTGCTAATGGGAATGGTCTGTATTTGTCAACACCCAGTTTTTGTAGAAAGGCCAAGAGCTGAAAAAAGGGTACATTTTTACAGTCATTGTGGAAAACAATCAAGTTAACTTATTTTAATACAAGATACGCAGTGTTCCATTTAAATCTAAATAAAAATTTTAAGTTGATAGTATGACAATTTAAAATACTAGCATATAAATTAAACTGAGGTATTTTATACTATATTTATAACAAGCAGTTACAGTTGAGTTATAGTTTATAAATAAAAGCAACTTGAGGACACAATAATATTAAAGGGACAATTTAAAATTAACCTCAGATTCCGGAATGTCAGATCCACTGGGTTCAACATCTACAGCGGATTCTTCTTCAACATCCTCAACACCTTCTAAAAGCTTTTTATCTTCCTAGAAAAATTGTGTGTTTTTTTTTTAATGATCATATAATGAAGTTCAGTTAAAATGACAAATATTTTTAACAATAACAATCAACAGGCTTCAAGTGAGATGCTTAATTATTGGCAATGTGTGTGAATTATCAACCAGAGAATTAAATTGTCATGCTTTGATTGAAAAGGCTATCCTGTTGTCAAGTATCATTTACTTCTACTTCTAGCAATAATTTGGTATCTGTAATCTACTGTACACTGTAAGCTTAACTTATCAGAAAGTGAGTAGTAACAGAAAGAGGAGCAAGGTGGAGAGTTTTTAAATTGTAAAATATTTAAGTTAGGGCAGGAATTACTCAATTTAATCATTTTTAAAAATTGTTCCTTTTTTTTTTTTTTTAGACATTACAGAAATTTGGGGCAATTTTATTTTGTAAGTGCCCTAGTGCAGGGCTTTGCAAAATTTTTTGAGAGCATATCTGTTTTTATAAATTATAATGCTGAGATAATTTTTTTGGGAGCCATAAAAAAAAATATGCAGAGTTGGATTGTTAAAATGTCATTAATAATTAGTCAAGTATTAGCATTAGGCATATGCCATATAACATTTACTACAATCTACAGAAAATAGAAAATATAGGAATATTTCATATTTGTTTAAAAAAAAAAAAAAAAAGATTCTTTTTTTTTTTTTTGTTAAAATGTCATTAATAATTAGTCAAGTATTAGCATTAGGCATATGCCATATAACATTTACTACAATCTACAGAAAATAGAAAATATAGGAATATTTCATATTTGTTTAAAAAAAAAAAAAGAGAGACTCCTTCTGCTCGCCAAAGCCCGGGTTGCCTTAGCCTTAAGTCATTTTCTTGTTAGTTAGCTATCTGATATATTATCTAAGTATATTGATTATATATTGTATCATTGTTTTATGTTTTAGTTTGTGGTAAATTTGTACTGGTAGTGATAGACTGATATAAATATAGGTGTTATGACTGTTCATGGAATTCAAGTAATAGTAATAGTTACTAGTTAGTGTTGTTTTTAATAATTTAAGTGGCTGTGCCTTTATTGTGAAGGTAGACCATTATGAAATGCATATGCTGCTGTTAGCAAAATACGTATTTTAATGCTTTTAAATATAATATAAACAACAAACATGTCTGCTCATTGTAAATTGTGTCGTCAGCTAAGTCTAAGTCAAGTCTGTCGTCCCCCGGTGTCAGTGCTGTCAGGCAAGTAGTGGATTTCAGGCTAGTATTTGACTACCAGTTAATTTAAGATTAATTATAAATGTTTTTAATCTGAAGCTAATATTAATAAGGCTCAAATATATTTCCTTACTGGTAGTTCCCAATCATCTTCGTTTGGTGTAATTTGTTTTTCTTTTTTTTTGAATTTCTTATGTCCTCGTGTTGATTTGTTATTAGAGGTGGCCATTTTTTTAAAGTTAAAAACTCATTAGAGTAGCCTGCTCTTTAGCAGAAAATGGAAACGATACTTTTTAATAGATATATCGATATCTTCACATGAAAGCAAGTACTTCCAAGCATTATCAGTGGCTCTCAATCTGTGGTCAACTCTCCCACACAAATAAAAGAGTGTAAAATTTTAAATGCAATTTTAGTAAACTGTCACCTTCAAATTGCCAAATTTAGAACTGCCATCTTCAGAACTGCCCGACTTAGAAGAACTGCCACCTTCAAATGCCAGACTTTGACATATTGTTGGGGAAAATCATAATTCATTTGAGCTTTTTTGAGAGTCATAAATTTAATAATGAACGGATGTGAGTGTCCAGGTCATGTCAAGAAACACTGTCCAAAATGAACGGATGCGAGTGTCCAGGTCATGTCAAGAAACACTGGCCACAATGAACGGGTGTGAGTGTCCAGGTCAGGTCAAGAAACACTAGCCAAGCAAGAAATAATTAATGATTTTTTATTTTTTTTTTTAAACTAGCGCACTGGCACATCCAGTGTATTCCCATGAGTCATCTCCCTTGACTCCACCAAAAGCAGTAGTTATATTTGACGTCACTTTTCTATGAGACTGCTCATCGGAACAAAGCGTGCCCCCCTCCCCCCCCCATCTCTTCCCCCTACACCTCTCACCGCGTACATAAATGTACACACGACACGTGCATAATTTATTTTTATCTCAGGGACCTAATATATTTCCTTAGGTTTGAGTTATGCCCTTGACACGAACTCCTATTTATCTCTCTGAATGCTTTATCAGGGGCGTCATCTACAATATTTAATGCTATCCTTGATCCTTACTTAATCAGGGGCGTCATCTACAATATTTAATGCTATCCTTGATCCTTACTTAATCAGGGGCGTCATCTACAATATTTAATGCTATCCTTGATCCTTGCTTTATCAGGGGTGTCATCTACAATATTTAGTGATATCCTTGATCCTTTCTTAATCAGGGGCGTCATCTACAATATTTAATGCTATCCTTGATCCTTACTTAATCAGGGGCGTCATCTGAAATATTGAATGCCATCCTTGATCCTTGCTTTACCAGGGGCGTCATATACAATATTGAATGCCATCATTGATCCTTGCTTTACCAGGGGCATCGTGTAGAATATTGGAAACTATTAGAGCATGTCAATTTTCTTTAACTCTCTCTATTTCAATATTGAGAAAACATTTCTTTATCGCAGCTAGCCATTGTACTCGCCCCCCCCCCCAACCCCCCATGCCTCCACGACAGATATTCTGTTTTGTGGGGTATAACTGGCACTGTAGCGTCACTAGAGTGGGGGGGGGGGGAGTACGAGTGTGAGGACAGTACTGAGTGACACCTACTCTAATGACATTACTGTCTGGGATGTCATAAGATATGTTCCCAACAAGTCCTAAGACAGCGGTTCTCAACCTGTGGGTCGCGACCCCTTTGGGGGTCGCACGACCCTTTCACAGGGGTCGCCTACGACCAGCGGAAAACACATATACTCTACAGTTACAAAGTATCAACGAAAATAATTGTGTGGTTGGGGGTCGACACAACATGAGGAACTGTATTAAAGGGTCGCGGCATTAGAAAGATTGAGAACCACTGTCCTAAGATGTCAAAAAAAATATATATATAATGAAATGCTGAGAATGAGACGTTACAACGTATAATATTGGCCTATATTATAAAATCTTAATGAATGTGACATCTGGCTGACCAATGGTCGTCACTGTCTTCGACTACTAACCCTGATCATGGCCTAACCATAACCACCTGACAAAGCCAGGACGCATCACCACAGGCCTAAACCCTACTCCATTAGTTTAATGAGATTGTTTACAAGACAAACCCTCTTGTTTTCAAATGTTGGGTGTTCGTTTAAAATAAAGAAACACATTGTTTTAATCCAAAGAGATTTTCCTCAACTTTGCCACCAGCCGCTCACCGGCTTCATTTAAATTTCAACCAATCGCTTTATTCGTGTCTCTAGAAAATAACAATAATACAATCCAATACCCCGCCCACTTTGTGACCAAAATGAAGATAAATGAAAATGAATAATTAATTAAAATCTAATTTGCATATTAAGGCCTCATATTAATATTCTTTGAGTTTGAAGTGATGTAGGGGTCTACGCTTACAGCCTACAGCCGACGTGCACTTGTAGGCCTACGCCTACAGCCTACAGCCGACATGCACTTGTAGGCCTACAGCCGACATGCACTTGTAGGCCTACAGCCGACAGCCGACGTGCACTTGTAGGCCTACAGCCGACAGCCGACGTGCACTTGTAGGCCGACAGCCTACAGCCGACGTGCACTTGTAGGCCTACAGCCGACGTGCACTTGTAGGCCTACAGCCGACATGCACTACCAGGACACAGCAGACTCACAGCGGGCTACTTAATCCAGAATGACCACATCAAACCGTCGCTTCGACCCGTTTAATTCCTATATATCAAACAGTTGACCCTCGGTGCTAAGTATTTTCAAAACTTGTATTTAAATTTTAGTTAGTTTCAAGATCAACTTATTAGACTTATTCCATGCTCGTCGCCCTCGACATGTGTCACCGCTAAGCAGCAGAGATTATCTTCTCCGAAAATATCAATTTAAATAAATTGTGCACTTTCTCGATCAAGCTTAATTTCAATCATTTATTTCTTCCTATTTATGAATTATTTTTATAAAATCATTTGTGTGTGTTTGTGTGTGAGTGTGTGTGTGTGTTCACGCGACTGCTGTCCTCTTCCTGTCAAATCCTTTCAATCTCACAGACTGACTCGCTCACCATATATCACCGCGAAGCTGAATAATCCGGACTCGAGGGCTCTTAGGTCGAAGGTATGGCACTGTGCAGTGCGCATGCGCCAGACTTATCTGCATTTTCCTGACGGCTCTGCTATATGCTAAATTCGTATTACAACTTCCGTGATAGTTTTTGCTGTGATATTTTCAGTTTATTTTGGATTAAATTGTATCGCAAGGCCTCTAAATGCTTCCTCGCAGGGCAGGATTTGGATAATTGTTCTCCGAACGTCTGCAAAGACCACTGATCGGGCCTGAGTGCCGGAGAAGGCCAAAAATGGTCTTCTTCAACGGTTCAGTGAAAATTAAGATCTGCGAGGCGGTGGATCTAAAACCCACTGACTTCTCGATGCGGCTGCAGATGGGTTCCACGAAAGAAAGAGCCTCGCAGATGATCGAACCATACGTGAATATAGATGTAGATGAAGTGTATGTGGCCAAGACCACTACCAAACCTAAAAGTGTCAAACCGCAATGGGTTTGGAACGAGGATTTTACATCGGAAGTTCACAACGGACAAAATGTGAATTTAACAGTGTTTCACGACGCTGCCATTCCCCCGGATGAATTTGTAGCAAATTGTACGATTGCTTTTGAAGAAGTAAAAGGAAAATCCGATTTTTGGGTAATTAAAAACAAAATGTTTTATCATTAGGATTCTTTTGTCTCCTCGAATTCGATCGGTATTACCTCGAATCCGAAGAACGGTAGCCATTTTTCTCTCTCGTCTCGCCTCGGAATCAGGGCGCTTCATCCGGACATTTTCCGAAAATCATGCTCTTTTAACATTGAATTATAATTTTCTGTATTTATTTCGCTCTGTCATATAAAGCATTCAATGTTTATTTCATCGCGCAGAATTGTTACGTAATTTTTGTTAATCGTTGATTAGGGAATCCGTAGGTTTCCTAATTGTTTATTGTGTCTGTTTTAGGTCGACTTGGAACCTAATGGAAAACTCCACATTGTTATTGAGTTATGCGGCTCCGCAACGGAAGGTAAGAAAAGATTTATTTTTTAAAGCAATTTGCTTTCTTAGCATATTATATTCTATTCTTATTTTTTAATAATATAAAGCCGATATTATTCTCGCGTCATTACATTATTTAATCCTTGTTGTTGGGTTATCATTAAAAAAAAAAAAGGAGGAGACATTATTGTCATTCGATTTCACACCGGGAGCATAATCGCTGTCTTCGGAGATGGTCGGAACTGAATGCCAGCAATGACGTAGTCGCCAGTGAGTTGCTCCTGTAGTAGCGCTCATCCAGGTTTATGATAATGAGCAACTAAATCGAATGTCGGTTTCGGTTTTCTGACATCGACCACGTCATGCATATTAGTCAACAAATTATTTAGCATAGGAATAAGCATGATTAACTTTACTTTAAATTGAGTGGGCCTACTGCCTACTACTACTGACTACTGTGCATACAAAACAATCGATAGTGATAGTAGACAGTAATTGATTGTAAATGCAGAGCTAAACTCAAACTCAAACAAAAAAGTTCAAAACACAACACTAGGTCTTGGCCTAACAATTTTTCCAAGAAACTGAATAATAATTAATAGCCATAGGCTATTGATAATCATGCATTAAATAATAATATAACTATTGACAACCAATTGACTATCAGTTACTACTGATAATGATAGCAATGATTTTATTCTAACTTAGACCAACTTGACTACTTGTATTTTTGTTTTAAACTTAGTTGGCTTCCATTTCAATCAAAATGACATTGTTAAAACATGACAAAAACTAGGTTCAACTATCACTAGTGTCAGTGTAGCACTTAGCAGGGTGTCAAGACGGGGATAGGGGGGGGGGGGATTTAGCTGCTTTCAATCCGAGTTGGGGGGATAGCAATCACCCCTATTTCACCGCCTTTGAATTTCTCCAGGTAACTAAACTGATATTATTAAGACGGGGATAGGGGGGGGGGGATTTAGCTGCTTTCAATCAGAGTTGGGGGTATAGCAATCACCCCTATTTCACAGCCTTTGAATTTCTCCAGGTAACTAAACTGATATTATTATTGATTGGAAAGGAAAAAATACAAGTGTTAGATATTTTATTTTTGGCTGGGGTGGGAGTGTGTTTGTTAGAAGAAAAATGTTAAGAAGTCAGGATTTGGCTATGGATTGAACTCCCAAACAATATTTTTGGAATAACTAATTTTTAGAATGCACAGCCATCCAACCACCCACAGTAATTTGAATTTTAAGAACTAAAACTGAAATAAAATTATAGGCCGACTAAAATCATTTTTTGAACAATAACTGGATTTGATAATTTGATTTCTGAAAAATGTGAACACTTATGAGTAATTACTGTTTTTTAACAGTCACCAATGTTCTAGCAGCTTTTTTTAACTTTTAATTTTAATATTACTAATAATCATAGTGAACTCTGTGGTCGAATTAAATATCAATACAATGACCAACATAAGTTACTGAGGTTTAGATGGGGGTTTAGATGCCCCTGGCAATTAGCAACATAAATAGTAATACTATCTGTGATATATTCTATCTAGGCAATTATAATGTTAATTAATAATGCTAACTAACAACTACTGTTCCACTAAAATTAGGGACCCAAGCAAATGCCTCAAGAAAGGGCTACAAAAATTAAATTGTCTTCTTTACAATCAGTGGGCCTACATTCTAAGACAGGGGTGGCCAAACTCCACGTCAAACATTGTGGCCTGCTGATGCCTGTTTTATCACAAATAAATTTATTCTTCTTCGCTCTTCATTCAACGGATATTTGATTTGAAAAAATTAAGTGAGAGAAAAGAAAAAATGGTGTCACATTTGTTGAGTTTTATTTTGGTTTTTTATTTAGCATTTCATTTTTGCAGCCATTAGCGGGTGTTTATTTTAATATGAGGTGTAATGGCATGCGGCCCGCTAACAGTAACTCGTTATCAAAGCGGCCAGCGAACAGTAACTCATTTCAAAGCGGCCAGCGAAGCCCTTTGGGTTGGCCACCCCTGTTCTGGGACATACTCGTATTTATAATTAATTATAAAATTATTCTAGTCAGGGCTTGATGAAATACATTTGTCCTTTTTAAAAAAATTAAAGTATTTTAAGCTAAGTCTATAAAAAATGGTAATCTAGTAAGGTCAATCAAGTATAAACAATGCTTTATGACTATATAAGTATTGAATATCTATTCTGAAAGTGACACTGATATGGTCTAAAAAGTAAGAATTATTTTCTTAAATCAATATGGGGATATTTATTAAAAGAATATAAAATTGAAATACTCTTTAAAAAAACTTCCATGAGGGTAAAAAGGGGTGGGGGGGGGGGCGTCTTCCACGCTTACTCTTATGCAAACTACATTCATACATATGCTTATAAAATGCACAGAGATTTCCATATAATCTGGCCACTTCGGGACCAGGTCATTTTTTTCCCTAGTTGTGGCACATCCAAATTATGGTTCATGAAAATTACAAAAATTAAACCTTAGCAAATAAAAAAAACATTTCAGTCTATTAATAAAATAATTGTGTACTGAAACACATGATACGGTGGAATGTAACTTATATTAGCCATTTATTAAGTGTAGTCTGCCACTGTCACTTGCATGACTGCCACTGTCACTTGCATGACTGCCACCAGGAAAACAATTTTCATAAAGATCACTTCTTTCCTGAACTCAGGCCACAATCTAGGAATGTTTTAATTGCCACCTGCAAATAATTATTTTGTCACTTTTGAGTTTTACAAAACAACAATGTATGCAAATCTATGCATACAAACATTGTCTGTTACTTACTTTTCAAACACAACAATGTATAACATTGTTTTTTACTACTTGTCTCACAAATTATTTGCAATGTTTTAGATTGTTTAAGTAAATTTAAGATGGCTCTACTTGTAAAAAAGGGGTTGTGTCATTTAATGTACAAAGAGCAAATATCATTAAAACAACCCATGCTGAAAAGATGTAGAGGGTGCAATATAGAGAGACAAGGCATTGACATGGTGACCTGTTGAGATATGGTTTATCATATATATATATATAAAAGTGAAAGTTTGTTTGCTTGTGGATTTGTTCCACATACGTTTTTACATGGATTGATGGATCGTGAACAAATTTGGCACATATATCCATAAGTATCCGGAAGGAACTCTTAAGGGGGTTTTGAACTTTTTATAACATTCCGTTTGGGGCCAGGGGCCCAAAATTCGTTTTTTTTCGTTATATGAGCTATATAAATAAAATTAACAACAAATACTCCTACATGAGTGGATGGATCTTGACCAAACTTAGTACACATACACTTTATTATCCATATTAAAACACCGAGGGGTACTGAACTCATGATATCAATTCCTCTGGGGCCGGGGCCCCATTTCATTTTTTCTTATATAAGCCATACAAATATCAATAGGCTTAGAGAACACAATAGTTTCTATGTGAATTGATGGATATAGGCCAGGTTAAAATTGGAAAAGAGGTGAAACAGGATCCCATAGAGAATGGATGTCCTAATGGGGTCGGTAGCCCTTGTTTGACATGAGATCATGCCTCATGGTTGTTTGACATGAGATCATGCCTCATGGTTGTTTGACATGAGATCATGCCTCATGGTTGTTTGACATGAGATCATGCCTCATGGTTGTTTGACACAGAGATCATGCCTCATGGTTGTTTGACATAGAGATCATGCCTCATGGTTGTTTGACATAGAGATCATTCCTCATGGTTGTTTGACATAGAGATCATGCCTCATGGTTGTTTGACATAGAGATCATGCCTCATGGTTGTTTGACAAAGAGATCATTCCTCATGGTTGTTTGACATAGAGATCATTCCTCATGGTTGTTTGACATAGAGATCATTCCTCATGGTTGTTTGACATAGAGATCATGCCTCATGGTTGTTTGACATAGAGATCATTCCTCATGGTTGTTTGACATAGAGATCATGCCTCATGGTTGTTTGACATAGAGATCATGCCTCATGGTTGTTTGACAGTTGTTTGACATAGAGATCATGCCTCATGGTTGTTTGACATAGAGATCATTCCTCATGGTTGTTTGACATAGAGATCATGCCTCATGGTTGTTTGACATAGAGATCATGCCTCATGGTTGTTTGACATAGAGATCATTCCTCATGGTTGTTTGACATAGAGATCATGCCTCATGGTTGTTTGACATAGAGATCATTCCTCATGGTTGTTTAACATAGAGATCATGCCTCATGGTTGTTTGACATAGAGATCATGCCTCATGGTTGTTTGTCATGAGATGATGCCTCATGGTTGTTTGACATAGAGATCATTCCTCATGGTTGTTTGACATAGCGATCATGCCTCATGGTTGTTTGACATAGAGTCGTAGTGACATGACAGTCATAGAATTACATTTGAGTTGTTTTTTGTTCTTAACATCAATAAGTTAATTTTAAATGTATTAGTAACAAAAGTATTATTGTTTGTAAAAATTGTGAATATTTAAAATATTTGTAAGTACATTTTATTTGAGTGAGTTGGCAACCCTGGCTGGATTGTGATAAAGCTGAGCTATGTTAAAGACACACTTTTTTAAAAAATAAACACTATTTATAGCCTTGAAGAAAGACTTTGATCAAAAGACAATAGAAATTAAAATTAAAGCCCTAAAAAACAAAGTTTTACTTATAAATCCTTCATGTGCACTTTTGTTGGCATGTGTCTAATTGTACGTCATTGATCATTTATTAAGAAGCAGTCATGTTATTGGGTAAACTTTTGTTGAAAACAAGTTCATATTTCCTTTATTTTTCCCTTAAAAATAAAAAATACATTTTATTATACTAAATACCCAAAAATGTCACAAATAAAAAAACAATTAGCAACAGCTACAAAATTAATCTCCACAACAAAATACGCAACCATTGAACAAATCATATATCATTCATCTTCCCCTTAGAAAAACATGAAAAAAACGGTTTTTGGGGGTGGGGCTCAAAATTTAATAGAATGTGTTATCATCGGCAAGGAGTCTATGGGCCAAGTTTCAGCTCAGTAAGGTGACAGGAAGTGGGTCAATTAGCCTTCCAAAAATTTTGCCACAAACCCAGAAAGAAACACACACACACACACATACACAAAAGCAAAGTTATTATAAAGGGTTTGTTTCTGCCACATGCCTTTTATCTGTAAAACAAAAACAAAATTTGCATGAATTTAAATTACATTTAACTTAATGCATACCAACCATACACTTAGAAAAAGTAGCAATGGATAAAAAGAAAAAGAACATTTTAAGTGGCACACAAGGGCAGAATTAAATTTAATAGTTTTTAAAAAATATGGTTTTTATATAATAAAGAATAGTATATAAATAATATTTTTTTTAACAATAGAAATAAAATAAAGAATGGAATGCAATAAAATAAAATTTTAAACTAGAATATATGACTCGATTTTACTGGGATAATAATGGTAGGCATCTTGCAGTATTTTATACCTGCTATAGCGAAGTCTCAACATCTAAAAATCAAATTTTTACATATATAATTGAGAGGGGGGGGGGTTTATATCCTTTAAAAAAAAAAGACAAAGTACGACAATATTCTACGCCCTTGAAATGTATAAATAGAAATAATTAATCAAATTTCCCGTATTTTTAAAAGAAGTATATATGTATTGATTTTTACAATTCTTACATCATTTAGTTTTTAGAAATAATTATCTGCTATTATATAGGCTTCCCCAACGCTTTTTGGGCCCCTGAACAACAAATAAATTGTAAAAATTCTAAAAATCATGTCCTTATATTAACATTAAAATGTAAAGACCATTTTAAATATCTTAAATATTAACGTAACTTGATTTGTTGGTAATCTTCATTTAAAATTCAACCAAACTTTTGCCTCAATTGTACTATTTTTCTGTCAGAAAATACACTCCTCCATTTTTACGTGTATGTTGTGCTGCCTGGGGAAAAAATTTTATGAATCCATCAATGGGATATAACTCCCAACGTAGGCAATGGCACATTTTTTGCATGCCCCTGAATTATATTAATAATATAATGTTCCTCACCTTTTTACCACAATTTGTTTTGGTGTTTTTTTTTTTATATAGTTCAATGCATTCTGGATGTTTGGATATTTGGATGTTTGGATATTATGTTTTTTATTTTAACATTAAAATCTATACCAAAGTTCAAATTTGTAACGAAATTGTGTTTTGTGAGATTGGCTTGGTATCAAAATGAAACAATTTCAATTTCATATGGTTTGTTCTTATTTATTTGAGGGATAAGTGAGTTAGTGAGTGATATTTGGCAATGACTTTGCATTGCACTTAAAGACTTGAACGTCATTTTCTTATGCAAAATTTGCAAAACCTAAACATACGTTTTTTTTAAACATATAAATTTGATAACTGCAAACTTTTGGAATAAAAAATAATTAAACTTCTTAAATGTTAAAGATACAAAGCTAAATTTTGGTGTTGTGTATTAACAATTTAAAAATCAATCAGTTATAATTATTATGAAAATGCAGGGGTGGGGGGATATTCTCAGTTTTGTGACAAATGGTGCAATTAATGGAAAATTAAAGCTTGGTATTTGCGGATCTAAATTAATTCCTTATAAGATTATGTATTCTAATTTTTTCATTGTGTTCAAACGAAAATATTAATTTATCGTTCTAATAATTTTGTCAATTAACATCAATTTACATTTAATTTTGCAATATTAACAATGCAACAATAAACAACAGATTCTCAGGTTTTCCAGATAAATGTGATTGCAAATTAATAAAAGTAATGCATAGATGAATATTTATTGATAATAAAAAGAATATCTACACTCTTACATTCTGATAAAAATATTCTAAATAGTTTTTTAATTGTTAAATTAAATGTATTTCTAATTTATAAAAATAATATTTAAACACCACATACTTAAATATAAGCCCATATTTTTAATGCATTTAAATTGATTTGATTTTCGTAAAAATTTGAAAATCCCTATCATTGCTTTTTAAACATCAGAGAGCATCTACATTGATTTGTTTTGTTAGTGTTACATGATCACTTAAGCTCCTTTTCATAGATCTGGGATGATGTCTCATGATTGTATAATATACTTATATCTGGGATGATGTCTCATGATTGTATAATATACATATATCTGGGATGATGTCTCATGATTGTATAATATACATATATCTGGGATGATGTCTCATGATTGTATAGTATACATACATCTGGGATGATGTCTCATGATTGTATAATATACATATATCTGGGATGATGTCTCATGATTGTATAATATACATACATCTGGGATGATGTCTCATGATTGTATAATATACATATATCTGGGATGATGTCTCATGATTGTATAATATACATATATCTGGGATGATGTCTCATGATTGTATAATAGAGAGTCATAAAAACAAGTCATTAACTTACATTTTAATTTTAAAAAACGAAAAACAAAAAAATAATTTTAATTTTCTTATAATAATTGCTTTTAGAAAAAATTGTATTACCTTTTCGTTACACTTATGTTTTTGCATTTAAATAAACATTTTTTTTTTCAATCCTATAAGCTCCTTAACTTATTTACCTATAGTTGTTTATGAATATGAATATTTCAGCGGCCGAGTCCACACCTAAAGAAAAAGTGTTCAAAGAAAAAGAAGGCATGCTTAACCGGCGGCGCGGTGCCATGCGAAGGCGTGTGCACCAGGTCAACGGACACAAGTTCATGGCCATGTTTTTCAGACAACCTACGTTCTGCTCACTCTGTCGGGACTTTATATGGTAAGGGAATTTTTTTATTGTTGATTTTTCTAAACTTTATTTTCATGTCATGAAAATTATTTACAGAATAATTAACATTTGAGTGAGTGAATAGTGAGTGAGTGAATGAGTAGTGAGTGAGGAGTGAGTAGTGAGTGAATGAGTAGTGAGTGAGGAGTGAGTGAGTCTAGTAGAACTAAACAAAATTCCATTTAAAATCATGGTTATTTTCATTTAATTACTTTGGATTATGATTATTTTTTTTTAAATGACTAAAATCATGATTGATTCAGTCGAATAATTGAAATATGATTCCTTATTTTTAGGGGTCTTGGCAAACAGGGATACCAGTGTCAAGGTTAGTAAACCTTTACCTACTTTCAACCATTGAGAAATAATTCAGTTTTAATACCTTATGTGTAATGTGCATGATTAAAATACATATAATATTTAAAATCAGTGACCTAAATTGAAATAGTACTTTTATTAGAAACCTTTGCACCTCTAGGTTAAGCTCTAGTGGTTTGAGACTGTTTACCTCTAGGTTAAGCTAAAGTGGTTTGAGACTGTTTACCTCCAGGTTAAGCTAAAGTGGTTTGAGACTGTTTACCTCCAGGTTAAGCTAAAGTGGTTTGAGACTGTTTACCTCTAGGTTAAGCTAAAGTGGCTTGAGACTGTTTACCTCCAGGTTAAGCTAAAGTGGTTTGAGACTGTTTACCACTAGGTTAAGCTAAAGTGGTTTGAGACTGTTTACCTCCACGTTAAGCTAAAGTGGTTGAGACTGTTTACCTCCAGGTTAAGCTAAAGTGGTTTGAGACTGTTTACCTCCACGTTAAGCTAAAGTGGTTTGAGACTGTTTACCTCCAGGTTAAGCTAAAGTGGTTTGAGATTGTTTTTAACAACATTGTTAACAATGACGTGACCTTGACCCTTTCCAACAGTATGCACATGTGTGGTCCACAAAAGATGTCATCAGCACATAGTCACAAAATGTCCAGGCTCAAGGGATGTCTCTAATGATGAGGTGAGTCCATCTATTCTTATAAAAACATCGTTGCCATTGGTCTCATAAGAGTTTGTCATCCTGGAAGCTTCAATAAAAGCTTTTTGGCACAAGCCCTGATACACAGGAGCAAGCATTAAAAAAATCACCCTCTTGGTCGTTTTAAGTACACAAACATTCAATGCAGAAAAAGGCCAACTGGGGCAGTTGCTGGCAAGCCAGAAAAGCCCATACTACCAAGGTTCCTGGGTTTTCCTGTTCTGCCTGTTCTTTATGTCCAATGCTATGAATTGCCTCATCTACGCACCTGCACATGAAACCAGGCCAACCAACCCTCTAATGGCTAGAATGGTCCTGGTTGATAACTAGAATGGTCCTGTTTGATGACTAGAATGGTCCTGGTTGATGACTTGAATGGTCCTGGTTGATGACTTGAATGGTCCTGGTTGATGGCTAGAATGGTCCTGGTTGATGACTTGAATGGTCCTGGTTGATGGCTAGAATGGTCCTGGTTGAAGACTTGAATAGTCCTGGTTGATGGCTAGAATGGTCCTGGTTGAAGACTTGAATGGTCCTGGTTGAAGACTTGAATGGTCCTGGTTGATGACTTGAATTGTCCTGGTTGATGGCTAGAATGGTCCTGGTTGAAGACTAGAATGGTCCTGGTTGATGACTTGAATGGTCCTGGTTGATGGCTAGAATGGTCCTGGTTGAAGACTTGAATGGTCCTGGTTGATGACTTGAATGGTCCTGGTTGATGGCTAGAATGGACCTTGTTGATGACTTGAATGGTCCTGGTTGATGGCTAGAGTGTTTCTGGTTGATGAGTCAATGAACATACAATTGTGATATTTGACCCTTCAGCATTTTGGGTAATTTTATGTCAAATCATTTCTCTGTTATCTATTGTTGAATTATGCAATTATTGTTTATTGGACAGCTACCTTTAAACAATTAATTTCTTGTGTATCTGCAGGTGACAGGAACACGGTTCAACATTAATGTCCCCCACAGATTTAACGTGCACAATTACAGGAGGCCAACATTCTGTGATCATTGTGGCTCACTCTTGTACGGACTGGTCAGACAAGGATTGCAATGCGATGGTTAGTTAAACATTGTCTGTTATTATTTTAATGATATATTTGTACATGGACACCCATTGGCATCAGCTGTCACATTGACACCCATTGGCATCAGATGTCACATTGACACCCATTGGCATCAGCTGTCACATTGATACCTATTGGCATCAGCTGTATTTTAGCATGTACTGAAAATAATAAATCACATGAATTTCTTTCAAATGTTTAACAAATCTTTATTTATTTATAGCCATACATTGGCCAAGACCTTTTTATATTACTTCATTCCTGATATGGATCAAGTTTAAAGTGTTACGTACACACTGATAGGGATCAAGTTTAAAGTGTTACGTACACACTGATAGGGATCAAGTTTAAAGTGTTACGTACACACTGATAGGGATCAAGTTTAAAGTGTTACGTACACACTGATAGGGATCAAGTTTAAAGTGTTACGTACACACTNTTTAAAGTTTTACTTTTAAAGTATTTTTTTTTTTTTCTTTTTTTTTTTTTTACATGTTAAAAAAATTATTCTGTACAAATGTTGTGAAAATTGTCTACTCTACACAACAGAAAATAAAACTTATTTCTTCCAGCTATCAAATTACTTCTGGCTGGTGGAAATAAAACTTAATTCTTCCAGCTATCAGATTTGTTCTGGCCTGTGGAAATAAAACTTAATTCTTCCCGTTCTCAGATTTGTTTTCGCTGGTGGAAATAAAACTTAATTCTTCCAGCTATCAGATTTTTTCTGGCCTGTGAAAATAAAACTTAATTCTTCCAGCTATCAGATTTGTTCTGGCCTGTGGAAATAAAACTTAATTTTTCCAGCTATCAGATTTGTTCTGGCTTGTGGAAATAAAACTTAATTCTTCCAGCTATCAGATTTGTTCTGGCCTGTGGAAATAAAACTTAATTCTTCCAGCTATCAGATTTGTTCTGGCTTGTGGAAATAAAACTTAATTTTTCCAGCTCTCAGATTTGTTCTGGCTTGTGGAAATAAAACTTAATTTTTCCAGCTCTCAGATTTGTTTTCGCTGGTGGAAATAAAACTTAATTCTTCCAGCTATCAGATTTGTTCTGGCTTGTGGAAATAAAACTTAATTTTTCCAGCTCTCAGATTTGTTCTGGCTTGTGGAAATAAATTTTGTTGTCTTTCACAAAATGTATAATTTAAAGAATATTTTACTAATTGACTTTCAGTATGTAAGATGAACATCCACAAACGTTGTCAGAAAAATGTGGCCAACAACTGTGGTACCAACACAAGGGATATGGCTCAGATCTTATCGGAGATGGGCATTTCGGGCGACAAGCTCCGGCCCAAACCCCCTAAAAAGGTTCGTTCTTTATTAGGAAAAGAAAATTTCATTGAAAAATTCTTTCTTTTTAAATATTATACAGAAGTTAATGATTTCAATAGTTGATTTTAAGATCACCATCAACTGTTTAATCACTAATTTAGATAACCAACCATTTTTACAAAACTTTACTGAAACCAGAGATAATAAAAATTAATTTCTTTCAATAATTTTTGGCCAGTTGGAAAAATTAAAGATTAACCCAATGTGCATTGAAGCAATATTTATGGTTAATATTTATATTTAATATTTTGTAATTTCAGTTTGTGACTATGATATTTGCATACAAAATTATTTTACTCTCTTGTAAACCCATGAGCTAATAATTGCCTATTTCTTCTTTAAAAAAAATATATTTTCAGATGTCAATAAGTGAGTCCCCAAATAAAAATACCCCCATGCATGAGAGATCATTTTCGTCCCCCATACCTGTGATACAAGGTGAGTGAGTGATGGAGAGAATGCATGATGCCCACCCTCAAGAAACTTGGTGAAATTCTGCTTGGCTTGTTGTCACATGGACCCAGTTTCAAGCACTGGTCATCTTTTGTTATGATGAGGTGCACTGGAGCCACTGTTGCCTAATGCTTGGACATATTGCAATTTCCCCGAGACGCTAATCGCTAGCAGGATGCCTAATGCTTCTAATAGGTTGAAGACTTACTTAACAAAAAAGCCCCCCAAAAAATATAAATAATAATGCTTTCTCAATATAATCAACACAATAACCACAAGTATTCTTGGTGCCTACATTTTTAACCACTTCCCTCATTCAGTTATTGGCACTTACATTGAAAAGCTTCAACATGTATTCCTAAATATTCACGAAGTATACTCACATTGAAAAGCTTCAACGTGTATTCCTAAATATTAACTTTTTAGATTCTATAATCTATAATTAAACGTACTGCGTATCAAACTTAATGCCTATAGTAATTTTAAAATATAGGCCCTGTCCTGTCTACGGTCAAACATCTTTTCTGTTTGTTAGTCTTAATTTGAAATTGTTGACACAATTCAACAATTGTATATGATAATCCTTGACATGCGGAACTATTATGAAACAGGGATTACTTAAATTATTTATTTAACCTTTCAGTCACTTTAAGAATGAAATTGAGAAGCACAAGTTGAGAATCATTCGGGACAGGAGCCAAATCTTGCAGTTTTTATTAATAGAATTTAATGGTATCTCAAACCTTTCATCTTAAAAAAAGAATAATTCATTGAGTCCTGCTGTTTTGTACATTGGTAAGAATTATCTTTCATCAACTGTTCAATCTTTGCCGAGCTTTCCTTTTAAAACAGTATGTACAAAAGGTTTTTAAAACATTAAAAATCCTGGCATGTCTGTGTCAACCTTATTACAAAAATGGCCAAAAAAAACCCCACCCTCACACACTTGAATTTCCTGGCTATTCTTTGCTTACCCTACACAGTTATCACTTTGTCCTTGCTGTGTCTCTGTCACAATAGCCTTCCACTCACTGTGTTAGTTTGTCAACACATTGTACACCAGGAGGTTTTTTTTTTTACATTGGTCAATATTCAAGCATAAACAGATTCTTATCATGGTCGATTTTACAGCTTTTTAATTATACAAAGTCTAACTATCTGTTAATTAGTTAAAATGGAAGTGAAATAATGAACCTTTAATATATTTCATAATGGGATACAGATTTTTATATTGGGTCCCCCCGTGATTCTAAATCATGCTTAATTAAACAAAGCATTGATAGCCTTGTTGAAAATAGTTCATCTTCATAACAGATCAGTTTCTTTCTTCTTTTGTTTGGTCAGTATTGACTTGTTACAATTTGCCCTAGGCATCACTAATGTGATCAAAACAATTCAGTGCATAATACAAGCTGGTACTTACCTTTCCTGAGACTAAATAAATACTTGTTTAAAAGCTGCACAATTTCTACCCTGATCCACAATGGGCACCTACTACCTCATAAAAGGTAAATACAGTCAAGTTATCCTTTTTTTGTAAGGCCCTTTAAAAAGGCCAGGTGTAAAATTGCCAACCATTAATTCTGGCTTTATCTACAAAGAAACACAAATTGATGAACTTTTGCCAAGAGTTTGTTGAAGCAATTAGTTAATTTTAGACTTGTACTTTCCTTGAATTAGGGGCTTTGTAGAATAACTTTTTTTGGAGTTGTTTTTACCCCCCCCCCCCCCCCTTTAAAGTTCCTTAACGACACTTGGAATGCCAAGTTACTAATCCTTTAAACAAGTGAGTGGTGAGGCAGTTTGAAGTGTGTGTGCGAGTGACCACCAGATTTCCAAGAAACCCATTATCATCAAGCTTAAATAAGAAATATCATATGTTGGGACCGATGATCTGTTGGATCATGTTGGGATTAGGATCACGAGCTGTTGGTTTGAACTGTATGATAAAAGACACAAGTATGTAATGATATATATTCATTTTAACACCCATGTGTGTGCATGAGAAGCCCCCTGTCTACATTTATTTTATTTATTTATCTCATTTACCATTATTTATGTTTGTAATTTGCCTTGTATTTAAATTTAACACCTTTTGATGCCTCGAGGGCACCTTGTATTGACAGTTTGTATAGACAGCTTGTATTGACAGTTTGTATAGACAGCTTGTATTGACAGTTTGTATAGACAGCTTGTATAGACAGCTTGTATTGACAGGTTGTATTGACAGTTTGTATAGACAGCTTGTATCGACAATTTGTAGTATCAGTGAAACAATTACAGTAAGATTTAAACATTTATTGTTTAGTACTTTAGTTGGCAGAAAAAAAAACAAGATTCACTCATTTCTTTTAAATTAAAAAAAAATTAATTTCTATGACAACCACATAGTATAAATTAAGGACAACATTTAAGCTGTCCTTTTCGTAATATCTGTGTTATAAAAGTGATGTTAAAAAAATATATAATTAAATATTTCATGTTTAGCTTAGGTAAGATAAACTGATTTGATAGAATCTGTCCCGGCTGTTAATGGTTTTAATGAAGGATGTAGATATATTTTCAAACATTAAATTTTAGATCCAGATGAACCAAATTCTGGAGAAGAAGGAGTTATTGGCAATACGAGTAACGAGCATCCGGGTTCAAGGACACGTAGTCCTTCTGGGGACAGGTCTCGTTCTCACCATAGCCGCATCAGTCTAAATGACTTTAACTTTATCAAAGTTTTAGGAAAAGGCAGTTTTGGAAAGGTGAGATTATGTATGCATATCTTGGAAAGGTGAGATTATGTATGCATATCTAGAATCTTTTATTGTATTTTTTTTTTGTATCAAATGGTTGAAAAGGTAGATGTACTGTAAACAGATTTATATTAAATTTCTTGTTATATGTTTCTAGTAATTGATAACTATCTGTAAAATACATTGGCTCATATTGAATAATGACAAACATTTGCTGTGACACTATTCTAGTAAAGTCATCTTCTGAAATCAGTCATTTATAACTACCAGCAAAGCTCCACAATCTTTATTATAAAATTTCAAGACATCATATCCTTGATGAATGACAATTCACTTTGTTATATTGTGGGTGGAACTCGTCCCTCTCCCCCATAGACAGCGATGAGGCCATGACAGGCAATTCAGGCTCATACCAGCAAGAAGCCAGTATAGGAGCTGCTCATTCCTGCCCAAGACAATCGGGGACTGGAACAAACTTTCAAAAGGAACGGTTGAGGCGACAACAAGCCTCAAGCCTTCAAACCCCTAGTGCATGATTCCCTCACGAAATGGCACTGAAAATCAATGAAATTTCCTCATCAACACCAGGAACAGAAACATTGCAAATCCCATCTGCATGCATAGGAGCCAAAATGATCAATAAATTGATAGTGGGCCCTTAAGATATAGAAGCAGAAGAAGATGAATGACAATTCATTTTGTTATATTGTAGATGGATGAATGACAATTCATTTTGTTATATTGCAGGTGGATGAATGACAATTCATTTTGTTATATTGCAGGTGGATGAATGACAATTCATTTTGTTATATTGCAGGTGATGTTGGCAGAAAAAAAAGGTACAGATGAGGTATACGCTATAAAAGTTTTAAAGAAGGATGTAATCATACAGGACGATGATGTAGAATGTACGATGACAGAGAAGAGGATACTTGCTCTTTCAGCTAAACACCCTTTCCTTACAGCGTTACACTCATCTTTCCAAACAAAGGCAAGGCATTCTTGTAGTCTTGTAATGCAAGACAGTTTTTAAGTTTTCACTTTAATGATAATACTAAATCTGATGTATACGATCAAATGAGATTCTTTAATTGATTTTAACAAATTGATTACAGATTCATTCATATATTATTTATCTAAAATTAAACTCAAACACAAACCGCTGATCATTGATACAATTTAAAAGGACAGACAACTCAGTTATGATAAAACTGGCTAAAATGTTTCCCCAAAGTTTTGATTTTTGTTATTAGTTCTTAGCATTAAGAAATCTGTTGGTGATTTTTTTTTTTTTTGCAATGAAGAAAGTAAATGAGATAATTTTCCTGTTTCTGATCATTATGAATTTATATTCAATGAATTTATATTCGATCCACTAAAAATGCTTATCACCCATTATACCAAATACTAATTTCACTCATTGTCATTGGTCTGCAGGAACGATTATTTTTTGTTATGGAGTATGTAAATGGTGGAGATCTCATGTTTCAAATTCAGAGGGCGCGAAAATTTGATGAACCTCGGGCGAGGTTTTATGCAGCTGAGGTGACATTAGCGCTAATGTTCCTGCATAGGCATGGCATTATATACAGGTATGTCTTTTTTTTTACATTGGTTCTGTCAATTAGGCTTAAGATTTTGTGCCTGTTAATGTGATAAAATCTTTATGCATTCAGTGTATATTACTGTAGTTTGTCTCCTTGCAATGAACAGTTATATCCAATTTACTATGTTTGTATCAAAATCTGGAAATATTTCTCTTATCTGTCATGTCTTTTTCTTAATGGAAACATTTTTTATGTGTTTGCCTATATTTTAAAAATTTGAAACTTCCTGAAATCTCGAGCAGAGCATTACAATTATTATTCTCTGCTGTTAAGTCAATGATGTTTCAGGATTAACTAGACGTTTTCAGGATTAACTATACATTTTCAGGATTAACTAGATGTTTTCAGGATTAACTAGACGTTTTCAGGATTAACTAGACGTTTTCAGGATTAACTAGACGTTTTCAGGATTAACTAGACGCTTTCAGGATTAACTTTAGATATATTTGGGGTGTTGTTGAATTCATGAAATTCAACATGAGAAATTCAACATGAGAAATTCAACATGAGCAATTCAACATTACCAATCAATACCCAAACTTTGTGCATCTGTGATATACTTTGAGATTTCAGTTTCTTCAGGATTTCTTTGTTGTAAAATGAATGCTTTAACACAAACTTGTATTATTAAACACAGTCTAAGAGTGGAACTTTTCTCATTAATGATTGTGAAATCCATTTCAGAGATCTAAAATTAGACAACATATTATTAGATGCTGAGGGTCACTGTAAAATAGCTGACTTTGGGATGTGCAAGGAGGGAATGACAGAGGGCAAACTCACACAAACATTTTGTGGGACACCAGATTATATAGCACCTGAGGTAATCATGGCATCATTTTATCATCATGGGATTATTTTATAATCTTGGGATTATTTCATTTATGAGTTACCGGTATATATTATTTTGATTTTTTAAAAATATCTGTACTTACAACAGTCTTGTAAATTACTGTACTTACTACAGTCTTGTAAATTAATGTACTTACAGTGCAGTCCTGTTAATTACTGTATTTACAATTGTCTTGTAAATTTTTTTACCATAAATCCATGAACTTAAAACTTTTGTGCATTATTCAGTTCTTAATTGCTATTTATTATAAATACCTAAAGAGAATCTATGAGGACTAATTATTTTTCAGATAGATCTTTTTTTATTTAGAGCAAAGGAGGATTGTCTGGATTTTTACTTATTTTGTATTTAGTGTCTCACACTGAGCATTTTTCCTGAACAGTAACAACACACTATTTTAAACTTTGAAAAGAGTTAATAGTTTATTATTTGTATCCTAAACACAGTCAGCCTCATGGAAGTGCAGAAGCCAACTCAAATATAATATATTCACCACTAAAGTTGATATATTCATTCTTGTTCAGTTTTTAATTTTTCAGTTTTGTTTAGGAAAGATTCCAATGTGTTTCTTGCGGTCCCACTACAACAAACAAACAAAAATACAAACTTTTAAGGAAATTGGTTATTTACCATTTTTCATGTTGGGAAGAATTTTTGTTATTAATGTTATAATGCATTTCTTTTGTTATATCAAAGTCTAAAATGTTGAACTCTTCTCACAGATTTTACTAAATGTTTTTGAAATGTTCATTCAGATTTTACAAGAACTTGAATATGATGCTAGTGTAGACTGGTGGGCTTTAGGAGTGCTAATGTATGAAATGATGGCTGGACAGCCTCCATTTGAGGCAGACAATGAAGATGATCTATTTGAATCTATTCTCCATGACGATGTTCTATATCCTGTCTGGCTCAGCAAGGAGGCAGTATCTATACTCAAAGGGGTAAACGACTAAATGATGTATTTTTAATGCTTGCATTTAATTGGATAGTGTTGGATGACTCGAATGAATTTTTTTTTTAAGTTGAATGGATTTTCAACATTATTTTTGCACCTATATCTTGATTCAGTGCTTGACATTGACCTCTAAGTAATGTAACAAGTGATATCATTTATGTTGTCAAATGTATTCTTTGTTGACCCTTTGTAAAGAAACTTATGATTTCTCTGTGACCAGTTCATGACCAAGAATCCTGCCAAGCGACTCGGCTGTGTTACTTCACAAGGATGTGAAAAAGCCATCCTTGTTCATCCATTTTTCCATGAAAAAATTGATTGGGAAGCATTAGAACAACGTAAAGTTAAGCCCCCTTTCAAGCCAAAAATTGTAAGTAAAACTATTTCTTATATGTTAAGTCATCTTTTCTGGTGTAAGTAAAGCTATTTGTTATATGTGAGGTTATCTGTCTGGTGTAAGTAAAGCTAGTTCTTATATGTTAGGTCACCTGTTCTAGCCCTTGGTTACTGCACCAGAACAATGTTAAGTCATATTTGTTCTGGCTCTTGGTTACCGTACCAGAACAATATTAAGTCCCCTGTTCTAGCTCTCGGTTACTGTACCAGAACAATGTTGTCACCTTTTCTAGCTCTTGGTTACTGTACCAGAACAATGTTAAGTCACCTGTTCTAGCTCTTGGTTACTGTACCAGAACAATGTTAAGTCACCTGCTCTAGCTCTTGGTTACTGTACCAGAACAATGTTAAAAGTCACCTGTTCTAGCTCTTGGTTACTGTACCAGAACAATGTTAAGTTCTAGCTCTTGGTTACTGTACCAGAACAATGTTAAGTCACCTGCTCTAGCTCTTGGTTACTGTACCAGAACAATGTTAAAAGTCACCTGTTCTAGCTCTTGGTTACTGTACCAGAACAATGTTAAGTCACCTGCTCTAGCTCTTGGTTACTGTACCAGAACAAGGAGGGTCAAGAGTTTAAGGGGAGGTGTGGGTGAGAAATGGGCAAAAATGTCAAATTTTGGGTGAAAAAATATTATGTATTTGGTTTCATTAACCATTTCTTAATTAAATTTTTATAATTGTTTTTACAAAATAAGTTAGAAAATATAATTAATAAAAAATTTCCAGACCATACCAAGCAGAAAATTGTCAAAATTGACCCACTGTGTTGTGCTTTTAGCCCTTTTGTATGCTTATTTGGAATCGCCCAATCCCAATGTATTTGGTATGGTGCGAAGATGGTGATTTCCGGTTTCAGAAAAATATAGCTTTTCATCATAAAGAAAATTACGAAAGCAACCAAACTTTTCAATCGCCGGTCATTTCTAGAAAAATTTGGTATTTTCCTGTTTTACTTTGTGTATCACGTGATCTGGCCCTAACCTTTAAATAAAATTTTGATTGGTTCCTGAGATGGAAATCTGTTTTTAATAACTACTTCCATTGTAAACACAACGGTTTCTAACTTTCGTTAGGCCTAGCTATTTGGATATATTAGATGTAATTTGTCACATATAAAAACATTTGAGGCGGTAAAAAAACTAATCATTAAAAATTAAATAAATAACAAAATGGGTTTGCTTTGATTAATTGCATTGAGCAACACGATTAATTCTACTTCTCGTTCATCGGAGAAGACTAAGACTGAGTACAATAAAACTAAAGTCACTTCAACCACCGATACGCTATTTCACTAGCAGGAAGAAGATAGAAAAATACCATGCCAATAATAATGGTAAGTCTTACTTTAAAAATAAAATATTTGTCACTTATATTAAAAATTTAATGTACTGTATCAATTATTGAATGAAGGTTTAAATTATTATTCTACTTCTACTGGTCCTTACTAATAATAGTACTCATTGTAATTGTAATTTAGTGTTAATGACAGTACTAAAAAAATAATACCCAATAGACGACAATATAGTAATTGTGACATTTGACTTACATTATCCTTTATTTATAGCTTTTAAAATGATATTATTTTTAATTCCTTATTTTTTTAATAGTGGCACACATTGTCATTAGTGTTATTTTATTCTTAAGTAAAGTAAAATAAGAGCCCTAACAAATTTAGCTTGAAATACTTGTCAACAATGTCTATCATGCCATTGATGAGTTAGACCTATAATTTATTAATGTCCTTAGGAGTTATAGCTTTTTTTGTTGGATGGGAAACATTTATTAAAAATATCTAACTAAAAGTTTATTGTTTTCAGGAATGATTGAGGAGACGCGCAATGAGTTTGCGGAGCACAACAGAACATAAAATGCATTATATTTCTTGTTGATAAACTACTGATCTGTTGTGCCTTAGTCCATTTAGCCCAAATGACAATTTGTACATGAGTTAAATATGGGTTGCCCTAAGTGTGTCTGCGAAATGTTAGATTCTTTGACGCAGCATACGTTTGATGTATCAAAATAAAAGTAACCTCAGGCAGATAAAGCAAGAGAAGACTAAGACAGATTACATCACAAGGCTTATTATATGTTATTCAAGGGCAAAAAGAATAAGACTGCAGTTGAAAAGAACATATCAATAATTTCCTTTCGTCAACATTTGCAACACGAATAGTGTTTAAATTTGATACCGTATTTAATTCGATTTTACAGAGGAGTGATCGCACATCAGTTTTCTGGCTTACAAACACAAAAAAGATGTTTAATATGCTTTTAGGAAAAATACATGTTGCAGTTCAAGTAATTCAAAAGTTGAGAGATAGAAAGCAGAAAAATTACAACTCGTCGAACTTACATTTTTTCTACAAGACCAAGAGTTGCATTTTCTGCATGCATAGACAATGCCAAATAGCTCTTTGGAATTGCATTTTCACACAGCTTAAATTGATGGTTCTGCACATATTTATAATGCTGCAATTCTCCAAAATAAGCAAATTATTATTTTTTTGGCTATAAAAGATAAAAATACATAAATCACAGCGAAAAGTTGAGTGGCCAGGAAAAAAGACAAAAGGACCTGTTAAAGGATAATGTCCAAATTAGGCTAATAAAATGTTTTCAGTCCAATCTGAATATAAATTTCTTGTTTTTCATTGATATTTTGTTTTTGTTGTTTTTCTTCATTATTTCAGTTTACTCGTTTTCAATATTTTTAGTCACCAATATCCCTATAACTGTTTTAGTTATCCAAACCTCACCAAATTTTCACAGTATGTTCAGTGACCAATAAGAAACATTTGATAAACTTAGAATTAAGATAACTCTCTTAGAAAAGAAAATATGTAAAAAAGAATTCACCCACACCCCTGTTTTTTTTTTTTGAAAGGGGGGGTTTGATTTTGCTTTAGAACTAGTTATTAGATGAAAAAGTCCTGTTGTACAAAGTTTTATTCTTGGTGAAATAATCTATGGTTAAAATCTGATGGCAATAACTTAAGATTTGTAAAAAAATTAAATTGCTGAGGTTTTTTTTGGTGTTAAAAAGGCAACCAATGGATTTATTTTTAAAAACCTGTTTTGTACCTCCATTACAATACCAAATAAGGTGTAGGAAAAAAATATTCTCATATGAAGTCAAACAAAAATTTTAGATTTTTCACCCACACCTCCCCTTAACAAGTTTTGTGGGGTTTATGCCATCAAGGATATCCATCTATTTTGCCCTGTGATAAGCTTATTTCATTACCCCTTAAAAATACTTAAAATATTGTTTTAGACCAGTTGCTGCCATAACATAAAGGTGGGTGTCTGCTGGACTAATATTAACTCTACAGTTATTGGTGTGAAAAACCAGAGGCAGATATGTTAAATAGATTAAGACAGACCTGTTTACTCTTATGATTTTGGTGATGTCCTTTACAATTGTATGCCGAGACCTGTCAGAATTAGGATTTTTAAGAGAAAAAAGGGGGGGGGGGGGGGGGGTCAAAAAAGCTCATTGTCCATACGCATGGGAGAGTCCTGAAAAAATACAGGGGGTGAGGGTTTAGAAATGTTCACTTTTTTTGCACATGTTCTATAAAGATGGCTCCTCCCAGCATTTGTTTGCTTCAGTGCTGTATGACGTAATTTTGGGACATAATTTTTTTCATATGTTTGAACCGCGGCGAGTGCGGAATCAGAGAAAACTAGACAACTTCCCCACAGCAACATTAGATTTTGACATATTTTATAGAATCTGAGGGGGGTCATTGAAATCTAATTTTAGAATAACCAAAACAGCTGTAGAATTTCCCCTTCCTTTCACACATGTACAGTGTACAGTTTTCGGTAGTTATCAGACTGTAATATGTTAACGAGACACACGACTTTGCCTAAAAAAATCTTAATTTACTTTTTTTTTTTTTAATGACGCCCTAATTTGTTAGTTAATTCTTACTTCAGTAAATTTTATTTGATGCTTATCTGATTTAGAGTTTGAACCACATTAAATTTCACCAGTAATTTTATTTTTACTAGTCACAGACTAGTTCTGCCAGTTCATCTAAATATTAATTGATATCTATAGCAGATAGATGCCTTCAAAACAAAGTGACACCAGATCGCAATATAACCGTCAGTCATCTACTTTTAGAAGTTACCTTTTTCTTATGCCAGCTTAACTCGATCCCGCCAGACACGCGATGCGAGTATTTATTGTTTACATTATATACACTGTATGTTTATCTACTATTAAGATCCCGGTAGTGTATTGTACGATATTAAGAGTTTGAGGGTAAACAGGTCTGTTAAAATGAATTAATATTAGACAACAGGATGCTGAAAAATGACCCTTCGTGTCGTCTTTCCACAGAAAAACAAAACTGATGCCAACAACTTTGATCGTGACTTCACTTCGGAAGATCCTGTTCTGACGCCGGTGGACCCGGCGGTCATCAAAACTATCAATCAAGACGAGTTCCGGGGTTTCTCTTTCACCAACCCAGATTATGGCAAGCTGGAGATGGAGGCCGGTGGTCAGGGCCACTGACCAAGCTTGACCGGCTGTCACAGCCATGCTCAGATGTATGGACCATGACTCGCCTGTGGCTGTGTCTATTTCTTTTCTCTCATTTCCTGGATGGAGTTTTCTGTGTTAACTGTGAATTCACAATTTGGTATGATTCAGTGACTAATAGTCTCCCTTGAAATGACAACTTTTAAAAAAACATTTTTTTTTAATTGGCTGGTTTTTTTTTTTTTTAACAAACAAAACACTCACTTTTTGGATTTGTATGTTGAATATTGACAATTCTTAGGTCCATACTTGATATAGTTTTGTTGCATTTAATGGTTCATCATTGACTGTTCCTGCACTATGTGTCATCTGTTGTTTGTTTCTTTCAAGTCATTCACTCTTCAAAGTAGACTTAGAAGGAGCAAATTATTTTCCCTTCACCAACAACAAAAAGTGATATTCAATTTTTTTTCTAAAGTTCACCAGGTCCAGGCGTACACATTTAATGTATGCCCCGCAGCTCACGTGACTGGAACGGTTTAGCATGCAAGTAATTTGATGGACTGGATTGCGTTTTGTGTTTTAGTTTTGTATTTCTTTTACTCCCCACTCATCTAACTGATGGCACTGTGTTAATTATTTATTGTTGATAATTATAACTATTTTTTTTGTTTCGTACTTCCAAAAAAAAAATTAAAACTCCTAAGCACTGTGTGTAGGGCTAAACCTTTCCCTAGTAGATGAATGTGTTTATTTTGTCCAAACAACAAACTGCCACACCATTGATTTCTTTAAGATGTAGTTCTGCTCAAGTTGACTGTTGTCTTTACATGCGATTTCAAAGTTATGAAGGCTCATTTGAAAATGAGCTCTTATAAGTCTATCAATTTTATACACATTTTCTTTTAATTGCTGTAAAAGATAGTGTTTTTTAATTATGGTTTTGTCATTTAGTAATGGTGTTTTTGTTTACCGGAGGAATGAATCTCAAGACAATCTATCTGGAGTTGGGGAAAATTTGAATCATCTGGAATTTAGAGGGAGATAAAAGATAACAAAATCTATTGCTAAGAGATAGATTGGTTGCATGCTATTTCATTGCAGGCACTAATGAAAACTTGGTTGCATCTGCATTGTTGTTGTTAAGAAATTAAAATAGAACAAAGGTTTTTTTTAAGAAATTAAAATAGAACAAAGGTTTTTTTAAAAAAGATTTTATGGAATGGACTACTACTTAGTGTTTACATTGTAGTGTTTACATTGTAGTGTTTACATTGTAGTGTTTACATTGTAGTGTTTACATTGTAGTGTTTACATTGTAGTGTTTAGTAAGGAACACTCCTGTTGGGGTCAATATGGGGGGGGGGGGTGCAGTCAATTATTCTGATAAATAACAAACTGAATAAAAAAATTTAATTCGACTCAAATTTGTTTTTTAAAAAATATTTATCTAAGAAAAATCCATTTTTACAAAACAAAACTCCAATGTGACTTTATTCCAGTTACAGGAACTGGTTATGATTCCAACATAAGGGCTTATTAATATCTGGACCCCACCAAAAATACAACAAGACAGTATTTATAAAGGTAGCTCAATGAAATTGTTGAATGTCCAAACATATCAAATGGTTACTTAAGTCTATTCATATCTTGCTTTTCAAATTACTGCTGCAAGAGTAGATAACATAGAGTAAAATTCAGATATGTTTCTTTTAGCTTGCATGCAGTTTCTAGAGAAGACTTTTTCCATTCAACTTCAATGTGTATGCAGTATTCTATTTATACATTCATGGACAATGGATCTTAAACTTAAAGCGATGGCTACTCCTCAATGGTTGTACCTTACTTTTTATTATTTTTTCTTCAAAGGCTAAATCATGGGCATTCCAATGCCACAAGTGGTGGATGGAGGAGAGGGGGGGGGGGGGCCACATTGATGGGAACTGCGCAATTGTATTTACCATTATTTTTAAAATAGCAAATAATAAAACATAAGTGTTGTACCTTACTTTTTATTATTTTTTCTTCAAAGGCTAAATGATGGGGATTCCAAGGCGACAAGTGGGGGATGGAGGAGAGGGGGGGGGGGGCCACATTGATGAGAACTGCACAATTGTATTTACCATTATTTATAAAATAGCAAATAATCAAACATAAGCTCGGCTTACTTGACTGACTATAAACCACCACACCAAAGTAAACAGTTGGGGTGGCTTACTGGACTGACTATAGACCACCACACCAAAGCCAACAGTTGGGGTGGCTTACTTGACTGACTATAGACCACCACACCAAAGCCAACAGTTGGGGTGGCTTACTGGACTGACTATAGACCACCACACCAAAGCCAACAGTTGGGGTGGCTTACTGGACTGACTATAGACCACCACACCAAAGCCAACACTTGGGGTGGCTTACTTGACTGACTATAGACCACCACACCAAAGCCAACAGTTGGGGTGGCTTACTTGACTGACTATAGACCACCACACCAAAGTAAACAGTTGGGGTGGCTTACTGGACTGACTATAGACCACCACACCAAAGCCAACAGTTGGGGTGGCTTACTGGACTGACTATAGACCACCACACTCCACCACACCAAAGCCAACAGGTGGGGGTGGTTACTTGACTGAACATAGGCCACCACACCAAAACCAACAAGTTGGGGTGGCTTACTGGACTGACTATAGACCACCACACCAAAGCCAACAGTTGGGGTGGCTTACTTGACTGACTATTAACCACCACACCAAAGCCAACAGTTGGGGTGGCTTACTGGACTGAATATAGACCACCACACCAAAGCCAACAGTTGGGGTGGCTTACTTGACTGACTATAGACCACCACACCAAAGCCAACACTTGGGGTGGCTTACTTGACTGACTATAGACCACCACACCAAAGCCAACACTTGGGGTGGCTTACTGGACTGACTATAGACCACCACACCAAAGCCAACAGTTGGGGTGGCTTACTGGACTGACTATAGACCACCACACGAAAGCCAACACTTGGGGTGGCTTACTTGACTGACTATAGACCACCACACCAAAGCCAACAGTTGGGGTGGCTTACTTGACTGACTATAAACCACCACACCAAAGTAAACAGTTGGGGTGGCTTACTGGACTGACTATAGACCACCACACCAAAGCCAACAGTTGGGGTGGCTTACTGGACTGACTATAGACCACCACACCAAAGCCAACACTTGTGATGGCTTACTGGACTGACTATAAACCACCCATCAGTTAAAGCGTAGTCCCATTTTCCACATTTGTCATGTGGGTGAGGCTAAGTTGGCAGCAGGGAAACCTCTTTTTGAACATGAAAATTGTGTAAAAAGTCATCTACTGTAGGGGAAGATTTCTCCAGTGAGTGGGGAAATAGCATCTTGAAATGTAATTATTGATAAATTCAATTTTGGAATTATTTAAAATTAAAAATAATGTGCATTTGGGGAAAGAAAAAAGAACACTGTTTTTTGTGTACAAATAACTATCTTATATATTGGAGGTTAAAATGTTGAAATTTTGAATGGAATTTATTTAAATGGTAAGATAAAACTGCATTCTTATCCATTTCAAGTATGTTATGTGTCACCATGACATCTGTTGAGTTGTGGGAGGAAATGTTGGATAGACCTTGCCCCCCCCCCCCCATGTATTACACCCAGAGTGGATAAGTCACATGTTTAACTGTATAGAATGGTAGGATGTTGCATCATCTTGCTGAAATCATTCAGAGTTTTGTTTAAAATGCTGTCCGCCACCAACAGCAAAGGCAAAAAATAGGAAAACATCTTAATGGCAATTAAAATAATCTATTCTTGTAAGTCACTCCTGGATTACCTTGTATAGTAAGTAAGGCAAATTTAAAATTATACTAAAAGCGATTGTGTGAATGCTTTGAGCTGCAGTTGTGGTCTAGTGCGGCTGTCCCTGGCCTTGCCTGGGGTTACATGTCATGTTGTTGGATGTACAAGAGACGGAGGCCTTGCCTGTGGTTACATGTCATGTTGTTGGATGTACAAGAGATGGAGGCCTTGCCTGTGGTTACATGTCATGTTGTTAGATGTACAAGAGACAGAGGCCTTGCCTGGGGCTACATGTCATGTTGTTAGATGTACAAGAGACGTTATAATACTCTGCATGTTTTTTTTTTCTGTTTGTTTTTTTTTTTTATATTTGCACTTTGTATTTAAATATTTGCATATTAAATTCATTGTATTTATTTTTGTTTTTTAGTATGGACATAGTAAACATTCTGGACTTGATGAATGTCAGACCTGCCACACATGCCCCTGCTCTACGGCCTCTTATCTCAATAATCATCTTTAGCTTTTTTAAAATTATTTCTTTGAATTTTTATATATATTTTTAATTCATCTTTAACTTTGACCTGTCATTCCTTTGAGAAAGAAAAAAATTCAAGTCATAACATAGTTGTCTGGTTGGATTTTTGTGCAAGTATAAGGAGAAGTTATTATTTCTGAAACTATACGGTATATAATGCAGTCTTTAAAAACAAAAAAAATTGTAACATTTGCTGATTAATTAGGAGACTTGAAATTACACAATTTTTCATGAATTTTGTGCAGTCAAAACCATTTAGTGCAGTGGTCCCATGGTCCCAAACATTACAAAAGGCAGGCATTAGACCAACTAAATGGTCCCAAACATTACAAAAGGCAGGCATTAGACCAACTAAATGGTCCCATACATCACAAACGGCAGGCATTAGACCAACTAAAGGGTCCCATACATCACAAACGGCAGGCATTAGACCAACTAAAGGGTCCCAATCATCTAAGACTGTGACCAGCATATTTTAATTCCTTGTGTTTTTAATTGGGGACGGTGGATTTCTCCACTTTTATTTTACAAACGGAAAGAGATAATCCCACAATCAGCTGTTGACAGTGTAGCTGGTACTCAAGCCATTTAATACAGATCGATGTTACACATAGCTGGTACTCGAGCCATTTAACACACATGGATGTTACACATAGCTGGTACTCAAGCCATTTAACACAGATGTTAAACATGCCAACTCAAGCCATTTAACACAGATGTTAAATATGCCAACTCAAGCCATTTAACACAGATGTTAAACATGCCAACTCAAGCCATTTAACACAGATGTTAAACATGCCAACTCAAGCCATTTAACACAGATGTTGAACATGCCAACTCAAGCCATTTAACTCAAATGGATGTTAAACATGCCAACTCAAGCCATTTAACACAGGTAGATGTTAAACATGCCAACTCAAGCCATTTAACACAGGTAGATGTTAAACATGCCAACTCAAGCCATTTAACACAGGTAGATGTTGAACATGCTAACTCAAGCCATTTAAAACACAGGTAGATGTTAAACATGCCAACTCAAGCCATTTAACACAGATGTTAAACATGCCAACTCAAGCCATTTAACACAGATGTTAAACATGCCAACTCAAGCCATTTAACACATGTAGATGTTAAACATGCCAACTCAAGCCATTTAACACATGTAGATGTTAAACATGCCAACTCAAGCCATTTAACACAGGTAGATGTTGAACATGCCAACTCAAGCCATTTAACACAGGTAGATGTTGAACATCTGAGTTTTGTTCTCAGATTTCTCCAATAGACTAAAATTAAGTGTACATTTTTCATTAAGGAGATGGAACACTGCCTGTCTCTGTTGACTTTCCTTTAGAAGTTGAGTCATGGGAATGACAGATATTTCCATAAGTTTTTACAGCTGCTATGTTTAGGGCTATCATTTTCTAGGAGTGGATTGTTTCTGATGGTGAAATGAGAGAGTCAAGTGTTCATATTTTTTTTATTATTTTTTTTAAATGTGCAATAAATGGCCGCCTGTACAACTTTGGTGTGTCCAAATAGGGAAACTGCCAGCAATTTGATTGGATGAGATTGCACACAATCCTCCAGTGACGTAGACAATCTTCATCGTACCATAAAGTCTGTAGAGTTCTAGTTAATTTAAGAAAACCTTTAAATATTGCATCGAGCTTGTATAGCTATGTT